AGAGCGTCTCTCAAAATTTGTATTATTCGTATTCACCATGTGCATGCTCCTGGACCTCGGCTTGTGTGCTTGCCACATTCTTTTTGCTTTATTTTGAATATGCGCATAGTTTAAGTCTGTAATTATTCCAGCATTTAGTTTAGCATTTCACCAAACAACTCCACCCCCAACCCCCGAATCCACTCTCTCCTCTCTCCTTAGCTGCTGCACCCCCTTGGACTTGCTATGGAAACTGCGTGTGTAGTTGATTCTGGTCCTGCTTCTCCCTCTCTCCCTCTATCTCTCTCTCTCTCGGTCTGTCTGTCTGCCTGGGCAGGATGTGCTGGCTGTTGTGCGCGTGTTAAAGTGAATTTTAAATGATTTATTGCACGTCGAGCTGGGGCCAACGATCCTCGTACTACCTGCAAATTCTCCAATTACAAGAGCGCGATTCTGGACTCGTGTGAATTTTACAGGCTGTCCTTATGTGCCTTTTTCCACATCTTTTGCAGCGAATTGCTTCGTTTGAAACTCATTAGAATGTTAATTGTAATTACGTTTGCATTGCGTTTGAGTTATTAAATTGAGTTTGAGTTAATGTTTGAGTGCCGACAAAGTCCTGCACTCTACAGTCCGTAAAGGGATTACTTTTTTACGCACTCGACTTGGACAACTTACCCCAATTAAGACATTCGCCCGGCATTTGTCGAGTCAGCAATTGAGTTGCACTCAAGTTGCGGCCCAACACGAACTGCAACTCGCATAAAATCTATGCCCTAGCATACTCAACGTGTTGCATCAAACAGGATACACAGAGCAGCCAACACAATGTTGCGTATAAGAGTTCGTTGTGCCCCTTAACCAGCCGCAACACCAAACAGAGTGCAGCATGTTGCAGCTCGCGTTTGTGGGGTCTCATACAACTCAAAGCTTTGCAGAATTTGAGTGCATCGTGAGTTGGGCTGCTAAAAGGGGCGATTGAGCTATATTCAAATTGAGTCAGTTTTGCTCTTTGAGCAGTTTTTGATGTTCAGCTTCGATGGCAGCTGACATTTATAGCTAATCATAATTTTGATTAATTATAAACTAAATAATGCAATTTATATAAGCACATATAAAACATAGACACATATGTCTATATATATATCTAGAAGGGACACAAATAGAAATGCGCCGTGACCCAGGCATAAAATAAATTGACATCCCAATGAATTCGAATGTGCAATATGCCATGTCACTGCCACGCCCCCCTGGCTGCGTCGCTGCCTAAGTTAACTGCAGCACCCGCCCCCCCCCCCCTCAACCCCGCATTCGCTCCTCATAGATTCATATATCAGTGCTACTTTTTTTGCTATGAATTATTTTGGCTCGTCTGCATGTGAAATTTTTGGCCAAACAATTGGCAAGCGCCAGCAACAACTTACTATGAGTGAGGGGAAGAGGGGGAGAGGGGGACAGGGGGTTGCAACGCTGACGACGGCGAATGAATATGATGCATGAAATAACAATAATGAAATGACAACAAAAGGCACGGCCAACAAAAGGATTGCCATCGCTGGGAGGAGCAGGGGGTGGGGTGGGGCTGCACATGTCAGTAAACCAGTTGACCGACTCGGCAATAGATGAGCGGAGCGAAGGGAGGGGGGGTGAGGTCAAATCAAAATCCAGCTCAAATGTGATTTTTGGTCACTTTGAAAATTGTTGATTAGTTACGCCTGAGCGCAGCCAAATGAAATCGGGCGTCGGTTGCATTAAAACGAGATTTCGGCTCGCTTTCGAGCCGCAGCACTTGACATCGATTGCAGCTTATGGACATGCAACAATGCCACAGTTTGTGGCAACAATTCAATGAGCCAAACAAAAAATTAAAAAAAAAATAATAAAAAAACTAAAGAAAATTATCGAAAAAAAGCATAGTTGTGGCATGTAACCAGAAGCTCGTTATGCAATTTCATTTAAACAATTAAATGGAAATAAATTAAAAAATGCGGTCGAGCGGCGGTTTGCGTCGAACAACGACAAATTGCAGGCGCCACCCAAAGATAGATATAGATATGGATATGCACATATATACATACGAGCCACGCCCAATTGATATGCCCAGCGCCCAGCTGTCGATTGCCATTAATTCGAGCATATTAATGCGAATTTACATGCGCATTTTGTGCATTTTGTGTGCTCGCTTTGGTTTCCATAACATGCACATTACAGCCGCATACCAATCCCCCAACCCCCCCCCCCCCCACCACCCTCCTCTCACACGACACAAAATTGATTGTTAATCAAGTACAACAACTACAACAGCTACACACAGAACATTTTGTGCCCGATTTAAACAGATTATGTGTTCACCAGCATAATATCCACAATATAATATATAAATAATCAACTTCCACGATTTCTCTGGCTCACCAAAATTCGAGTTGTGCACGTTTTTGGCATCAATTATAATACTACTGGCATTGGCATATCCTTGTTATAGTTGTTGTCGTCCTTTCTGAGCAAATAGCTTCGTCAATGTGTTCGCAGTAAATAATGTAGTTGGCTTTTATCATATCTAATTTTAACTAGAGCGCCATTAAGTTCTAGTAGTATACGAATTATTTGTTTGCATTTTAGCATTTAAATGCTAAAAGCTATTATTTAAAATGAAATATATCTAAGTTGCAGTTTTGAAATTTCGCACTCACCACTCTAATTGTACTCAGCAATCTGGCAACGTCGGCATGCACGCAATCAAGTTCATGTCTTTTAAATAGGCGCAAATTTCAGTCTGTTAATTAACAGAGTCGAGTTTGTGTTAACAGGGCCAGCTGATTTCAAAATGTGTTATGTTATTCAATAACAATAAGGCCTGGCACGAAAATCACTTTAAACGAATTATTTTTAATTAAAACGTATATAAAATGTTTTCAATACGCTCTGCATTGCCATGCAGAAGACAATTGGCGCTGCTGATGTCAAACATAAGCCGGCACGCTCATGTGCAGTCCAGCTGCGGATATGCTGCCTGGTCGAGAGCAACATTGCACAGCCCACAACTACAACAAAAACAACAGCAGCACAGATGGTTGGCAACGCAAACTGCTGCTGGTAAGGATTCCGAAGCCGGCAATCTGAAGCGCATCTATTACGGAACACTGGCGCCGCGCATGAAAATTGTGAAGCTTTTTTCATTGACCACCAGTTTGGCTGGATTGGCAGCGCAGCCCATTCTCCTGGAACAGGGCATGAAAATCGGAGGAACCGGAATGGCCGTTTTCCTATGCACCATAGGGGGCTTCTTTACTTTCGTTACGCCTTTACTGCTCCACTTCATAACCAAAAAATATGTCACTGAGCTGCACTACAATCCCGTTACGGAGGAATATACCGCCACGACGATATCCCTTATATTGTTAAAGGTCAAAGTATGTGGTTATTTAGTTGGACTTAGAATGGTTTTTGATTTAATATAATTTTTTAAAGACAACGTTTCGACCCAGCGATGTTACCGTGCCCGAGGTTCCCGGTATGTTTACCTCGTTTCTGGTGAAAAATCGTCCACTTTTCGTTGACCCAGCTCTGTTTGATGATCCCGAGCACTATGTACGCATTATGGGCTATGATAAGCCTATAGACTTTAAATTGAATTTGAAGTCAGAAACGGAGCAGAAGCAGAAATAACGAAATAAATTTATGGTTTATAATTGATATTAGTTACAAATCACTTTTGGCTACCATAAAGCTTTTTAAACTTCAGCTCCTATTCACAATAGCAGAGCTATAACCGGCACCAGTTAAAAAACTTAACAGAATGTTACTTCAGAACACAATTATAGAGGAAGTTTTATCGACGTACATATGCTATCGATTTGACGTAAGTACAATAAGAGTGTGACCAGCAGCGGTAATGGCAAAATTACTTTGAAATATGTAAAGTATATACCAAAAAGACTACAAATACTTACAAACCGCCTTAGATTCGGTCACGCTGTATCGAACTTACAAAGTTGTCCAGACGCAATTATTTAACGTTTAACAGATAATTACCGGGAGTTTCAATACGCAAATCGAGTGCGTATACGGTATTTTATAAAATAAACTCTCGTTGACATCATGGTAGTGTCAGAGAACGAAAAGGTAAGATCAATATAGCAAACGTGTGCCGCATGGTTTCAGCCGTGGCAGGGTCGTCGATAAACAGGGCTGTTGCACAAGAGGGGAGCGAGCAGCAAGGGGTATGACTACACAGTATATGAGTGCAGCTGGCGTGGCAAGTCATCGCTAGTTTTTCGATTTGCATTTTTCAATTAGTTAAAGTAGATGCACATCCACACATTTGTTGTTTGCCATTAACGTAATGAAGTGAACTTAATTGTTATTTGCACGCTGTCGCCTACGTAAATTTTGGCTCACGCTACGTTACGAAGCTGCTCTCTCCATTTGCATATGCTGTTGTCTTTCGTTCGCTCTTTCAAAGCACGCCGCACGTTTGCCTCTGTCGCTGTCATTCTTTTTGTGGTGTCGCTCGGTCGCTGGAATTCGCAGATTGCTCGTACACACACGCCTAGCTCGCGTTCGCCTGTGTTTTAATATACCTAAATATACATACGTATTTGTATATGTATATATGTGTATGTGTACATGTGCATGTGTGCAGCATAAAAAGTAGGTGAAGCAGGAGAGACAGAAAAGTAAATTACTGCAATGAGCAACAAAGCTTCAGCAGCAGCAGCAGCAGCCAAGCAAAGAAACAACGGTTAAGTTTCTACCATGGCGACTGCGACTCGTTGCGGACTTTCATTGCAGTTAACCCCAGATGAACAGTTCAGTGTTTAGCTCGTTGGCTTTCAGTAATTCGCGGCAACTATTGAAACTTGGACACGAATTTTATCTAAATGAAACATATTTTCTGTTTTTCTCATTTGCCCCACAAAGTTTGAAAATTGACAGTGACGAAAATTCGAAGATCCAGGCAAACTGTGTGTATTCAGACAGATGTGTGTGTTGTTGTGTAGTCGTAAATTTTAGCGTGCAAACATCACATTCATTTCGGAATTTGTACTTCCATTTTCAGTCCCGAAAAAGTTATTTCGTGTATTATTATTTAAAAAATATATATATACATTGTAATTGTGCACACATCGAAAGTAAAAAGCGGCCGCGAATTGCACATAACGAGTTGAACAAGTTCTCTTTTACCGCAAAAAGACACACATAAGTGCAAAGTGAGTCAGTGTAGTGTCAATGACATCCACAAAATCTCCAGAATCCACAAAATCTGTTTGTAAGCAGCTCAGCTTCACTGGCTGAACGACGGCAACAGAAGAGTCGAAAATCAAAAATACTGCAATAAGCAATATCTCCACCCGGTCCGTTATTTACATACATACATACATATATATATATACATACATAACGTACAAAAGAAAAGCTTCACGCACGCACATATACTTATACACGCACGCACGCACACACACATAAAGCTATACGCAGCAACGACAAGCGATCGCGTCAAGTGAATCAGCGTCTCGCCGTCTCCCACTCGCGAGTACAACGTGAAAGCTCAAGCTCTCCCTCCCCATCAGCAGCAACAGCGGCGAAAGCCTCGAGACACTCGTTCGGCCTCAACATGCAGAGCGACTTTCACAGAATGAAGAATTTTGCCAATCCCAAGACTATGTTCAAAGTAAACGTCAAACTTTAAATTGCCAATTGACTGCGCTTCAATCAATATCTAATTATATTTTCTTTAATTTATTTTTACTCTTAACAGAGCAGCGCTGTGCCTGCTGGCAACGAGCAGGCGAACGCTAGCGCAAACACAGTGGCACCGGGTCGCCCGGAGCCAACACCGACTGCCACTGTTGCTGCTGCTGCTGATGCTGCTGCTGCTGCTCCTGAGGTGGCTGGAAACAAGGAGGAGCCAAAGGGCGCCACCGAGTCGCAGCAGTCGGATGATGGTGCTGTGCGCACCGAGCATTTGTTTAAACACCCGCTGCAAAACACATGGACACTGTGGTATTTGGAGAACGATCGCACCAAATCCTGGGAGGACATGCAAAACGAAATTACCAGCTTTGACACAGTCGAGGACTTCTGGAGTCTATACAATCACATCAAGCCGCCATCCGAGATCAAATTGGGTAGTGATTATTCACTCTTCAAGAAGGGCATACGGTAAATGCAACTCACGTTCAAATCTGCCAACAATCAATAATTATGTGTGTTTACCTTAGCCCCATGTGGGAGGATGCTGCCAATAAGCAGGGTGGTCGCTGGGTGATCACACTGAACAAAAGCTCTAAGAACGATTTGGACAACTTGTGGCTCGATGTGGTTAGTAATGAAAAGGCAGATGTTTATTTTCGAGTTATTTTAACGATTAATTTTCTATTCCGTTTAGCTGCTTTGTTTGATTGGCGAGGCATTCGATCACTCGGATCAGATTTGCGGCGCTGTTGTCAATATTCGCGGCAAGAGCAACAAGATATGTAAGCGATCCTTCGAAATACTTTGTTTCACACATACTTATATGCTGTCTATTATGTTACCTTGCAGCCATCTGGACTGCCAATGGCAACAACGAGGAGGCCGCTTTAGAAATTGGACACAAGCTGCGCGATGCTCTACGTCTGGGGCGCCAAAATTTGCTTCAATACCAGCTGCACAAGGACACCATGGTCAAGCAGGGCTCGAGTGTCAAATCGATCTATAATTTGTAAATTTTCTCGAGCAATGCTCTCCAAATTTTGCAACAGTTTTTTATTAGCTATTTTACGTTGCCTTTATTATACTGGTTTATAACCAATCCGATCGCAGCAACGTAAAGTCAACAAGCCCAATAGGCAAAACAGAATATAAACGAGAATAAACCCCCCTTGTTATCAGAGAGTGGCGCGTATTATCAGACGCACCGCTTTTTAGTCATGGAATATGCGAAAATAAAGAAAAACTAAGGTTAAAAACGAAATTCTATTTATTTATAAAAGAAATTTAATTCGCAAAATGCAGGTAAATGGCATGCGCTTCATATTGAATACGTGCAACATGTCAATGTATTGGAATCACATTTGTAGCAGCTAGTGGGACATAATTTCTTCGACACGGCGTCGCAAGTCATTTCTGCCGCAGTCGGCGAGTGCCCGACTGAGCTGCACCAGCAGCAGCCGAGGATCATTGCACTCGTCCTCCTCGAACATCTGCAGCAATCGCAGAATGCGCGATTTGAGATCTTGCGGATAGCGCAACTCTATCTCGTCCATTGCGCCTTCGCCAATGCGCAACTTGCGGCCCAAGTCACGCCAGGAGCGACCCAACTCTTGAGATATTCTTTTAAAGATCGCAGCACGCTTCGCATCCGTAAACTGCGCCACAGTCACATAGTTCTGCGGAGCTGCCGCCGGCTGGGCTGCACGCTGTGGAGCTATGTGCAACTGCTGTTGCAGCTCCTCAGCCAGTCGTTGCTCCTGGTAGGAATTGATGGGTATTTTGGCTGTCTCAGTTCTTTGGTAACTGTCTATAGCCTCCTGCAGCTGGGTATTTTTTATGTTTAAGCTTCGAAGAGGTTCAACATTCTCTTCGCTTATTTCATCACTGCGTTCCAGACAATCTATTAGGTCTTCTATATTTTTGATGAGATCCCTTTTCCTAGCGGATCCAATTTCGTTGGAATAAATGTCTTTTAGCTCCTCCAAGTCTGAGCTGTTGGCACCTTCAAGGGCCATTTGCTTCAGCATATCGTAGCCCCAGTGAACTCCCAGCGCCATCGTGCAATATTAAAATAATAAACTTTTCGTAAGAACAGTCGAAACATATCGGTTATTTTGAAATATCGATTTTGGGGTGACCAAATTTTAAGTGATAAAAGTCATTTCGAATTCGTAATCGATTGTTAGCAGGTATTTGCGCGATTCAAAGATGCAGCCACACTTCAGTGTTGTCGCAGCCCTTGTTTCTGCAAGTGCGTTTCTGTCGCAGGTTAAATCAAAATGTCTTTGTTTTATTTAACTTCAGCAAATTGCTTCTGATAAAATATATATAAATATGTGCAAGCTCGCACATAGCAAGCATTGCAAATTACGGTCCGTGTTAATGCGCCACAAAAACGTACTTAAACATCCAATTTAATAATTGCATTGTGCATAAGCAAAATATATAATAATAGACACGCCACACACACACGCACACACACACACATTTGCGTCTAGAATACAAACTAGCAGATATTGTAAAAGTTCATTGCCTTAAAAACCTACGCGAAGTGCAATAGATGTTTAATTTTTATTTAGCAAGAAATCAAAGTCCCAGCCAAAGCAAGCTGTGCGAAGTCAACGAACAAAAAGTGTGAAAAAACATCAATCAGACAAGGCATTTGCTATAAATAAAGCAGCAGCAGCAGCAGCAGTGCCAGCATCTGTTTCCCATTTCAAAACAAACAAATGCTAAAGAATACCAACAGCAACAACAACATCATAACAAGAGAGCACATATCGACTATCGCAAACGCGAAAGACAGCGCCAGGGACTCTGCAAAGGGTCACGGCGGCGGTCAGCAACATAAAACGTCACAAAAAAAAAATCATAATAATAACATAACAACAACACAACGCGTTAGGACTGCTACGTAAGAGTGACCAGATTTCTGTTAAAATTCACTAATGCATCCTTTTGAATGCAGGGCATAGAGCAGCAAAGAAACAAAAAACAAAAACAAACAGCACAAAAATGTCGTGTGAAAACGCAAAAACCTCATCAGATATTGAGCACGTAGACTGGAGCACCGGTGGCTCTGGCCAGCACTACGCAAATGTCAGGTAAGTTCGATTGCAAACGACTTTAAGAAACAAAAAAAAACACACACTATTTGCCAAGTTAGAAACAACGGCACATTGTTTGGCCCTCGACTGTAAGCTGCAAAAGCAACGGCAGCAATAAATGTCGCATAAATTATTCCGAGTCAAAACCAAATACAATATTCATAATGCAGCCGAAATGAAAAAGGGCCGCTGTTAATTTTAAGCTGAACAGTATAAAATATTGCTTTTTTTTTATATAATGTATTGAGCGGCCCCTCCCCCCCCCCCTCTGTTTGTTATTTGCGTTCCGTTTTGAATTACAGTAAAAGCTCTCATGAGCGGACAAGCGGATAAATAACCGCTGTCTTATTTAGCCATTTTCGAGCTAAATTCAGCTACTTTTCTGAGACAAATGGACATAAAATGAGATGTGAAACATTTGAAAAGTTCGTAATTAATATCCCCCACGTCTCTTCTGGAATGATGCGTCATATGAATCAAAACAGAAGCCGCCTGTCAAATGTATTGATTCAATCTCTCATCTGGTTTAACTAGCAAACAGTCAAAGCTCATTAATGTAATCGCATTTAGTGAATGTTAATGACGGCAATTAAATTGGCTGCAGCGAGCACACACATATTGTTAATATGAATCGAGCTATACGTAGTATAAATAATTTAATTAATCATACTAGTCTATTTGCATGTACTCATACATACTATAGGGCGTTTATTTTTTATCAACGGGCGCTTCAATAGAAATGCAAATTCTTGGATTTATATATGTGCATATATAAGCGGTCAGGTGTCAACCAACTGACACTCAGTGTCTAATTACTTTGATTTATAATATCAACTTCCGAGCCATACCCACACACATTCATTCGCACTCATTCATTCATTCATCTGTTTTAGCTACTAGCGCACATTTCGCTGGCCATAATTATGGCGTCATTTTAATTTATAAACCAGTCAACAGCCCAAGATACACATTGCGACTGGCGAGTGTGAACCCGAAGCTCATTGTGTCTACAGCAGACGTAGACGTCCGCTTATCAGAGTCGCCCACAATCTGTACGGCAATGTGGAAATCTTTCGCCTCCTATCCAAGAGTCATTGCCATTAAATATTTAATCGTCTTGGTTACTTATTTGCCAGGCGGATAATTCGCTTAAACATTTACACAGCCCGCACTTCAATTGCAAAACGAAAAAATATGAACTGATAACTGATAAGGCTCACAGCATTTACTATGGCTACAGCCACAATAGAATACTCCCAATAGCCTAATAAAGAGTAGTAAAAAACAGCTGTATTCAATTAAATTTATGCGATGTTTCTTCGAAACATTTGTTTTATTTTTAACTATAAAAAAGGAGCCCCATATCTTAATTGATAAGCACAAATGTACATCTGTATGTATATATATTTATCTAGGTATTTCCCCTTACATCATAGAAAAAATGCCCCAAATACGTTAGTTATTAGTCAGAAGATGAACATTCTTTCCAAACGAGCCAATTGTTGCCAAGCAAATATAACTAGTTCTAGGCGGAGTAGTTAGTAAATATCTTGAGATATTTTTCTAATTTGTTATGTTTACAAAAATATGTATTTTTATAGTTGTGACATACCTGAATAAAGTCCATAAAGCCTTTGCAGAGGCATTTCGTAAAGTCACGTAGTTAATGGCATTGCTTAAATCGGTGAACTGCAAAAAAATTATAAGACAGTCATGATAAAAGCAGCATAATTTAACAGATAAGCATTAACAATTCACACTGAGATATCAACTAAAAATTTGCCTAGAATTACTTTAAAACTAGATTTGATGTTTAAATCTATGAGAAACAAACTGCAACAAACTATGATTAACATAGTTGACACGCATACCTTTGCATTGGCAAATGCCTTTGTATTAGTGCACTGCTTTGCGTGCACTGCTTTTGTCCTCCAAGCTGTGCCTTGGGTTGACACGGGCCGCGTGTCCGTGTGCTCCGTACGTGAACTGATCCGCAAGCCAGCGTGCGAACGTGATATTTTTCACGTTGCCACGATTTCCCTTCGAGTATTTTTCATATAGGCAAACTGATTAACAGCCAAGTAAATATATAATTTCTAATTGATTTTGCTGGCTAATCAGTTTTTCCCCGTTCAGCCAATTAAGGGGTTAGAACATTAACAAACGGTCTTAACTATTTCTATTAGCTAGAGTATACAACCAAGATAAGCATTTGTTAGCTGGGCTTGAGTTCTGCCAGCTGCAAGGCCCAAACCAGTTGGCTTTAAAGATAAGTAGCTGCAAACAAATTAAATGAATTACAAAAATAACGCGCAAAATATCAAAAGTAAACAGTAAGCAAAACAAAGCACACTAGAAGACAACAATGAGAAACACAAGTAAGAACCAAGCACGCGCATTGAACCGACCGCACAATACTCTGTTCACACGGCAATAACAGTTTTAATTGGTTTGAGGTAAACTCGGGCAAGTGTCAAAATGTTTGACTGACTCTTAAATAATCATGTCTCAATCTAAACATTTTATTCTGTACACAAAGCCAATATACTCCGTGCCACTTTTTGAGCAGGGTATACAAATTAAAAAGCAAACCAAAACAATGCGAAACGCGCAACTCCCAACTTCCCGTCACGTATAAAGTATCTATATGTGTGCATATAAGGGAAACGTATTTGTTTTCAAACTTTTTATTTTAGTCTCTTTACAAAATGTGCTAATTTATGGATAACCAAATGCAAGCGGGTTCGCTAACCGTTCCGATACTTAATATCTACCAGATATGACGACTGTCAACATCAGATTAAGACTGACAGCAAAATGAATGCGTGTAATTACTATTTGCAATCATCATTCAGTTTGGCGCGTAATACGTTGCGTATACGTTACGCATGCTGTGACTCAAATACCGTCGATCGCCATGGGAGCATGGTCGCCCAGCACTTTCGATTGCCTTGCTGCGTGACGGCAGAGCGGTGGCGAGGGGGTGCAGCAAATTCGCTATTAATTACCGCATGCCTGTGAGAGCGTCTCTTGCACTAATGCAACTGATTGAATTGATTGCCTGATAACGGCGACTCGCAATGTCCATATAAATATGGCTGGTACATACACACACACATGCATGCACCTCTTGATGTGACAGCGGAAGCAGGCAAGGGCAATTGCAACAACAACAACAACTCGAACTGGCTAACTTTGCGGACTACAAACGGAAACTGGAAACCGAAAACAAAAGATACCGAAAGTTGTTTTTATTTTATTGAAATTTGCACCTGTCTCGAATGTGGAAATGCGATAGCATGTGCATATTTAAATTAACATTAACATTAAATGTGTACATAGCCACGTTTCATCAGCTGCTGTACACGTGTGTGTGTTAGTAAGTGTGTGCATGTATTAGTGCATGCCGGCCGAAAAAAAGCTTGAGACGCGCTCTGCTCTGCCGCACTCCCGTTGAGTAATAATTGGACAGAGATGAATTTTCGATCAAAAGCTTTTGCTCACAATACTTTGTGCCCGACACGGACCTGTCTACAGCTTCTGCTTCTCCCAATGCTTCTGGCACAAACTTTAAAACGGCAATAAAAGCTCGTGAGCAACTTTTCGACTCTTCTTTAAAGCTTGCGCACGATCAATGTTCATGCACGATCATGTTCCTTTGTTTTTTCAGCAAATTAGAAACAAAAGCTTTTATTGCAATGCGAAACAAAGCACTCCGATCTGAGCCACATTATGTCGGGTACACATTGAACTTAATTTTCTGAAGCTATATAATATAGTTGTTCGAAAAAATACAAACTTAAAGCTACGTTACAATGACAGCATATGATATAGTTAGTTCTCCGATTCAAAGATGCAGCTAAAAAAGCTTAAAGTCAAGATACATACATAGCTTGGGCTTCATTTTGGCTCCTTCAATGTACTGCAACATTTGTGACATATTTTGGGTATGACAAAAAAAAAAAGAAGCAGTTAAATTATAAAACAAATCCTTGAACTTTTTGTTCCAGCTTTTACGATTTCCCCCAGTTTTAATTTAAGCAGTGTTTGCTTAAAAATAAAAAATACTTTTACTGCTCAAAAAGTGCTTAAAAAGTCGAGAGAAATAAAATGTTTTGTACTTAACGAAACGTTATTAAATTGCAGAGGTCTATAAATCTGAAAATTAATTTTATTACATTTGGGGATTGTGCAATGTATTATATATATTCAACAATTTCGATCAAATGAGAGAAGCTATACAAAATATAGGATACTTCTGTTCTGCGCATGATAAAGATTTCGTAAACTAATTAAATTTAAAAGAGTCTAGCTCGTAACTCTATAAAAACATGGTTTTTGTTGACCTTAATATATTGTATATTTATATAGTATATTCTTTATGATTGTCGAAAACGATGACGTTCTGCGTGTTATACACACAGGAACCCATTAAAGCCCCTTTTCAACCACCAATTTTTTACCCATTAAAAATGGGTATAAGGGTATATTGTATTTGTGCAAAATCCAAATGTATGTAACAGGCAGAAGGAAGCATCTCCGACCCCATAAAGTATATATATTCTTGATCAGCATCAATAGCCTAGTCGATCTAGCCATGTCCGTCTGTCTGTCCGTCCGTCCGTATGTATGAGCCAAAGGATCTCAGAACCTATAAGAGCTAGAGACTTGAAATTTCAGATGTAGATGGTCCTAGTTCCCGCGCAGATCGGTTGTGTTTCCGATAATCGATAACTTACTCCGTTTCCAAGCAATCGATAAAAATCGATACCGATATCCTGTTTTTTGGGCAATTTTGGTAAATAATAAGAGCTAGAGTCACCAAACTTGACATATAGTTTCTAAAATAGAATATATATATGCATTTGATGTTGGAAGAAGAGGGTTCAGGGTATCCCCTAGTCGGTGCTCCCGACTAGAACCTCTTACTTGTTTTATAAATGTATATATTGCCCACCCTATAAGTATCCTATTGGGTATACTGGGTACGCGTGCATGTACATATCTAAAAGTATGATTGTTATTCATTGGAATTAAGCGTATCTTATCGCAGCGATAAAATGAGCTTTACATTAACACGTCAATTTCTAATGGCATGGCCACAAAATATAAAAGCTTTCTCCTTATAAAACCCACGAAATGCTAAAAGCTTGAATATGGCTACCAAATATAGATCCATATTTGTATTGGATGCGCCAAAATAACCGGGGCAGGTCAATGAATGCGCTTTGTTTCGAATACCCAACGAATTTTTTGCAGTCTGAATTTGATTATTTAAAGACGACGAGTTGGGGTTAAAAATCGAAAATTGCCTGATGAAATTCATAAACTTGGCCAGAATTTGTTTTTCTTTGTTTCAAGAAAAAAAGGGGTGGGCATATGGAATAGACATTAATTTATGTGACATGATCCGAGACAGACGCGATGCTGCAACTCGATTTATTTTTACCAATTAATCTGTTTAACAACAAGAAAATCATCTGACAAACTCATCAAATTGCTGGTAGATGCGAATGCAAATGAAGACTGGGAATGCCGCCAGACTGGCGTCTGGTTTCTGTTGTCATTTATCGGCTCCTGAGCCTATTAACTAATGAAGTCATAAAATTGGCAGACATCATGAATGGATATGTCGCCTAACGATGGCACCGACTGTCTAAAGGATAAACAAACAACTAAATTGAGTGTACACCATATACTAAATACACACAAAGAAGAGAGATATTAAGCAACAAATACATATGTATGTATATATATGTACTTTATGGACGGTCTGGCTACTGTGTTTGCCTGTTTCACACTTTCCAAATGCGTTTTATTGATCCAAGGACAGTCAATTGCCGAGCACCGAAGCAATGGACACAGCTCAACTACTACGACGTGGCCATGGCCTCAGACCCAGCCCAAGTCCGGGCCCAGGCCCAGGCCCACAACAAATGTGATGACAACCGGCAGCAGGAGCAGCAGCAATAAAAACACAAACACAAACGCTTGACTGGCTTTGTGGCTGTGTGTCCTGCGATGTCCTTCGGCGCAATCACGCACTTGCTGTCTGAACTCCAAAACAGACAGCAGGCTGGTAAAAAGGGTGATGGCAGAAAGTAAAAGTGCCTCAACTGAAACCAATTTTTAACCCTATTTTGGCCAATTGGCCAGAGTCTATTGGCCAACAAATGTTGTTAGTTAGACGCCAATGACGCCCCATTGGCCCTGGCCCGGCGTGGGCGTAAACGGGCTCTAATAATAGCCCGGCCCGCTCGACTAATTGCGCCCGCCATGAACTTGACCAGCTAATTGAAATGTAATTGTAAAAAACGCAACTGGAACTAATGAATGATTGAAGGCATTATCATGCACAATGCATCAGCTTTGACATGTAATAAAAAGTTATAAGAAATGCCTATTAATGTTGAAGCCCATGCAAATTACTTTTCTCTTTTATATTCGTATTAAACGAACTCTGATGTTTTTTATACGAATACGAAATAATCAGAAACATTTGAATTTCTTATCGACCCGAAACAATAAAAACAAACACGCAGCGAGATTAATAATGATTCGGAAATAGCGTGTTCATCTTTTTCCAAAAACAAGAAACTATAAATAATTTACACAAGAATTCCCAATAAATGCGAATGCCTAGGTTCACGTGTGTGAACTCTGTGATACTCTGTAAAACAAAAGAAAAACTATTTCTTGAACAAGAGATTTTCCCTAGAGGCAAAAAAATGTAATAATAAGAAATATTCTTTATTTGGTTCATAGAAATTGTTTAATTACTTCGAATTCTCTTGCAAAAACTCGTTCCACGGAAAATCAAATGAGAAAGAATTTATTATGAATATTATTATTATTTTGAAATCTGAACTTCAAGCATCAATATTATATTTAAATAAACAAATATATACGTTTATGTGTATGTATATTCCCGATCACATATAGAAAATGCAATGTGCTAACTAAATAAAGTGTTTCTGTTTATTTAACGACACGTTGGCTCCAAGGTGTTGTGCAAATTGTTTTCGGAAATGTTTATCAACAAAGGCGAAGTCCAGCTCAAATATAAGGCACAATATGTAAATAGTACACAAAATGACCTATGCAAATATTAGATACATACTTAAACGCCGTAATTAAGTAAGTTTCTATAAGTATTATTGAACCTACCAGAAAAATAAACGTGGCTCAAGCAAAGATCTCGCAATTGACTCTGATTCTGATTAACACACACAACTGTAGCACATTTCAACTAATATACGAATATTCATGAATATAATGAGTACAATGAGTATCGGGTGCACTTATCATTTATATTCATATTATTCTTAACGCGAATTCCCATTAGATTAAAAGTTTCTTCTAAAAGTAAATTACATTTACTATAATATTAAATGTACTTAAACTTATCGAGCTAAAAGAGTTTCACTCATTAAAAACTATTTGAACTACAAAATCGTCCAGTTTTTCATTTGATTTTGTAGAGTGTCTCCTTTTAATTATTGACCCATCTGTTTTTAAGTCCTATCATGACTTAATTGTCTACAATTGTCGTTCTAACTAACGAACCAAACAGTTTGTTGAATAAAGGTCTAATTGCAAATTGTCAAAGAATTTATTAAAATGTTCAGAGGCGCAATTAAAACTATTGTACACCAAAAAAAAGTTCATTAATGTTGCATGGTGTAGCTAAATATATATGTATATATTTTTAAACTATCATCAAATGCAATAATGTACGGTAAATGGGCTCAAGCGAATGACTAAAAGATAAGTTCGTAGAGTAGTAAGTTTAAGTAAAGTGTATTAAACTAGAAACTTTAAGTTCAATAAATATACACAACAGTTACAAGCCACAAAAGCTGTAAACCTTACTTGAGCTCATGAGAATCGCAGAGAAAGGCCATTATAAAAGAAGTGAAGTAAACTTTATCTTATAAGGAGGCTACAGCACCTAAAGCCTCTGAGATGGACGCACCGTCAAAGATAGATGCATCAAGAGACAGGCTAAATTTACAATTAAAGGCCGTTTAATGGGATAGTTTACAAAAAGTTTAAATAAACTAACAGCAATAGCCGCAACAACCGTAAAACATAGGGCAGCAATGGGTTAAATGTGTATATATATCTTAATAGTAGATGTAATCGTATAGGGCTATAAAATTGTTTACACATTAACATTGATATTTGGACATAATGAAAGAACAAAGCGCAGGCTCGCTCCAACCGTGACCCTTAACAAATGCTTTGTTAAAAACATCGAACAAAGGCAGTGCATGAGTTTTCCGGATCCACGAGCTGCTGCCCGCCTGTCCGGGTTTACTTTATTTTTTTCGTTTTGGCTGCCAATCAAGTTGGCAACAAATCGCTGCCGTTTCGACTCAAGTAATTCTGTTTGGGTTCCCAGTTGAAGGTCACGCCCCACACACGCACACACGCGCGCCTTTTAAAGGTCAGAGTTGCGACTTTTTTAATCGAGTCCAAATTTATTCGCAGATTCGGCTCTGGCAGCAGCCAGGCATCACAGAACAGCGGCGACATTTGCCGCATCTGCCACTGCGAGAGTGATCCACAGAATCCGCTGCTGACGCCCTGCTACTGCTCCGGCAGTCTGAAGTATGTGCACCAGGCGTGCCTGCAACAGTGGCTGACCGCATCGGCGACCAACTCCTGCGAGCTGTGCAAGTTCCCCTTCATCATGCACACCAAAATAAAGCCCTTCAATGAGGTAAGTCGCATCAGCTGACATTTTCCCTATCTAATGCTCGAAACTAATTTATTTCGCTTTGTATTTTCTCTTTTTTTTTTTTTGTTGCACATATATTATTTTGTTGTTCGCATTGTTTGGCTTCCTCTATGCCGGACATCGATTGCATTGCGGCTGACAGTGGCGCAGCCTTGACATCTCCAGCATTGAGAGGCGCCGGCTATGCTGCACGGTGCTCTTCCACTGTGCGGCCGCCCTGTGTGTCATCTGGTCGCTGTGTGTGCTCATCGAGCGCGCCGCAGATGATGTAAAACGTGGAGTGATTGGTTTGTATACCCCATGAACTCTTCATATATATATATAGCTTAACTCAACTGCATTTATTCGCCCACACAGATTGGCCCTTCTGGACAAAGCTGGCCGTTGTCACCGTTGGCCTGACGGGCGGCGTTGTCTTCATGTACATCCAGTGCAAGGCCTATCTGCATCTGTGCCATCGCTGGAAGGCACTCAACAGGCGAGTAGTCCATCCGTAGCCGATGCTCAAAGGATAAAAAACATGCCACACCAAAGCAAATGGACAATTTATTTATTGAATTGCGTTAGGCAAAGGCTGATAAACAGCGGCAGCTTGAAGCTATTATTTTTGTTTCAATTAAGATTAGTTCTCCAGTTGTTCGTTTGTTAAAAACCCATTAATCTGAGGTACTATGATGCCCAGCTAAGCTTTGTATATAGTCTTTATTAGGGCGCAATAGAATACACTTAATTTGAATTATTGTATTCCACCCACAATACATAATATTGTATTATATATAGTGTATATATAATTAATAACATTTGTTATTCTTTGTCTTCGTCTGAGGTCAGACACGTTCGCTCGCACTCCTCTTCCGTGCAAAAACGATTGAAATTGCCACCGCAGCCAAGAAATATCATCTTATTGCAGGATCGATGCAATATGTTGTAATACCACATCTCAGGCATCGCGAAATCCTTGCACCAATCATAGCGATCATGACCAAGATCTCTACGTATATTGCAGCTGTGGGCAACTAACAGAAATAGTTAGCATTCTGCTAAAATTTTGGCTTGAACACAAATTAAATAGTCACTTACTGGGTTGTCCAGGACATTGTGGAAGAGTCTCTCTTCTCGCCTCGGTGTGGGCCACAAAACCCACCAGCGCCAGACAAACCAGAGCCAAATATAACTTCATTTGAATACAAATCACAAAGCTTTCAGTTCAGCTTCAAATGCAAACTGATTGGCAAATATTTAAAAATTGCTCTTAAATACCAAAACAACTCGAGAAATGAACAAAAAAAATCGAATAACAAAGTAATTTAGAACATCTGTTACAAAAAACAGCCACAAAAGTTAATGCACAATTGTAAAAATACTCGTACCGACTGCATAATACTCTGTTTCCCCTGTCACAACAACTCAAAGGGCTATGAATTTTTTAAGAATTCCTTTTGCTATATATTTGAAGAGGATTGTGACAAAAGGAAAAACTTTTGATTCTTTAGTTATACCTATTAAATCTGAAATCCTATCAAAATCGGTAGAAAATCTCGTATAGCTCCTTGAGCACATTTGCTAAAACACATTTAATATACGTCGCGTTTAACAATTTTCTCACTTTTTCACTTTCTTAATGCTGTCAATTTTAACTTGCAGAATCCTGCTCATACAGAACGCGCCGGAGAAGATACATCCGTTGGCGCCGCCATCGCCAGTGGCTGCCCACCATCACTTCAGCGAGAGGCACAGCTCGCTGGGCCATGGTGCGGTCAATGGCACCGTGGAGATCAATGCCTCTGGCGGCGCAAATCATGCCGTTCACGACTCGAGCTGCGGCGCCTTGGAGCATGCGTCGTCGGCGGGTCTGCATCAGCATCAACAGCAAATGCAGCTGCAGCTGCAGCAGCGCCTGCTGAACGCCTCGCCGCAGCACATGCTGCAGCTGGACGTAGTGCCGCACAGCAGCAGCTGCGCGGGCACCCAGACCGAGGATTCGCATGCACAGCGGCAGCAGACGGGCCAGCAGCTGGGTCAGGTGGCTGTGGCGGCCAACATTGAGTGCTCCCAGTCGCAGCACAACTACGACCGCGACTGGGCACTGGACGATGTCGTCTCGCAGATCTCATCGTTTCGGCCCTGCCCGCAGGGCTCGGGCAGCATGACACCGTTCCATGACTCCATACACAATGTGCTGGAGCACTCGGAGAGCTCCAGTCGCGGCTCGGCCACAGATCTGTGCGCCGGCTCGCGGCAAGATCTCAGTGCCAGCGGCATTTCCACAGACACCGGCCGTGAGCACGCGATGCAGCTAAGCAGTTTTAGTGGTCAGTATTGGTAATGCATTTTCTACTGCTTCATATATATGCTAAAATCCCCATTCGAATTGCAGGCAGCGGTGAGCACAAGGCGCCCTCGATCAGTTCCGGCGTCTCGCATGCCGTGGCCAATGGACTGGGCGGCTTTGCTTACAAGCCGCATCAGTCGAAGCGCTACTCCAATTCGTCCATTTTTCTGGAGAACCGTGATATACTCAACGACTCGCCCCTGTGCGTGGGCGTGGCAACACCACTTGCCTATGACTACAGCACGCCACCAAAGATCGACTATCGCCACTCCAGCATACTGGGCACAGAGGAACAAACGGGACTCAGCTGCTGTGCGGTCGCCTCCGACTGTCAACTGGGCAGGGAGGGGGACGTGCGCCGCTACTCGGACACCAAGCTGGACATGGAGCAGGAGGCCATGCTAGGCACAAATGCCGATGGCGGCGACACCGTGCTGGACATCGAGCTGCCCACGTCGCCGCTCTCCCCACCAGCTGCATACGCCAGTCACCACCAGCATCACCAGCAGCACCAGCAGCAGCTGGTGTTGCGTCGATCCTTTGACAAAGGCGTGGACGAAACGAATAATGGTGCTGGCATTGGCAGCGCCAGCAAAGCCTCCAATCGTGCGTCGGCCGATGCGCAAATGGATCGCTCGCGTTTGTTTTTCAAGTCGTTGCCAAATCTCAGCAGCAGCTGCGAAAGTCTCATCAAAAAGTGATTGTGCCCCGCTCACGGATCCTCAATACCCTCCACTGTGTCTCTCTATACATGTTGAAAGTATTTGGCGCTGGACCCAGACAGACAGACAGACAGACAGAGCCACAAATACCATTTACTTTTTTTTTCAATACCATAATCCTTCCTATCCTTGGCCCGTTGCCGCTCCTAATTTAACATCGTATCTCGTAAACATGTTTAACAAAGCCCATAAACAATTTTGAGACTGCAAACATAACAAAACACAAGAAAATAATGTACGTTTAGAACAAAACAAATATAGTTTCATTCGAAAAGAAAGAAAAAAAACAACAGTATCTATATCTAAATATAGATTTATATAGACAGGCACTGAACAAATGAGCAAAACTACATCTTATATATATATATATAAACCGACTAAAGCTGCATAAATTTCCCATTTTCCCAACTCCTGCCGAACGTAACCCCCTCCCCTTGCCCAACCTTCCACATCCGCTGCCTAAGCCAAATCCTTTTATGTGTAGCTCATATATATATATATATATATTATAATTAAATGCAAGAAGCAGCAGACGTGAACTTGTGACATTTTGTATTTTGTTTCTTAACTTCTAAGTCAAATGAAAATTTTAAAAATTGATCTGTGATTAAGCGTCATTGAATATACACATAAAAACTTAACCTTACATAACATAACATAAATGATAATAACATTAACATTAACAGCTGCAAACACAACCGAAGCAAAAATCAATGCAAACAACACAAAAAATAACAAATCTAAAATATGTAATTTTAAATGAATAACAACAACAAAAACAACAACCACAAAACGACTATTTAAATGGCATTTTGATGATTAAAAGTGCAAAAGCTCCTGCCTGGAAGCTTCTCCGTGCAGCTACAGCAGCTCTCTATGTAAATCCTCAGCTTGCGAAAAATTGAAGCCGATTTAGTTATAGAATTAGCATAATATATACAGTGCATACTTATGATCGCGACAAGTTGCCCGGCATTACAGCAACAGGACAACTACATTTTTTATTATGCATTCAAATATTTAAATAAATATATGCAAAACAAATATATAAAAAACTATTCCAAAGAGAATCACGTCTACTTAACAGGTAACGGGATTTATGAGCTGGAACTATTAAAAGGGAACTAAATTGAACAAAGTGAACTGCAGAAGTTCCAGAATAAAAATGGCGGACATAGAATGAAAAAGTTCAAATTCAGTTTTTACAGTTGTTTAACTAACATTAATATCTCTTTTTTTTATTATAACTTATTAGTCTTTTTGTTTGTACATATCGTTTTTAATAAATAGAATGTGATATGATTAGGAATGATAATGAGAGAATGATGCACAGCTTCTATTTGGTGTTTTTGCCGCCATTGGCTGCGTTTTTGGCTTTCGACTCCTCCTGCTTGTTCTCTGCGGCATTCTCCTTGATATTCAGATGTGCAGGTCCCACTTGCTGGATCTGAATCACACGCTCCTTGGACTTATCCTCAATGGGCTGCGGCTTCGGCACGCTCACAGTGAGCACGCCGTCCGAGGACAGAGAGGAGACCACCTTATCGGCCTCATAGCCCTGGGGCAGGGCATACCGACGAACAAAATGGCGCGAGATGTAGCCATGGTCGTCCTCGCGCTCCTCGTGCTTACCCTCGACCACAATGGAATTGTCCACCACCTTGACGTTCAGCTCGCTGGGCGTGAACTGGGTGACGTCCATGCACACCTGGAAGCCATCTTTGCCCACCTGCGAGACGGGCCAGCGCCATCCATCGCCCTCTCCATTTGTCATCTTCGCCAAATCGCGATTGCGCCGGCTGGCCATAATCTTGCCGGCTGGCGATGTGGGACAGGCTGGATGTGGGCACTGCCATGGAGACAATAGTGACTGGGGCATGGCCCGAGCTTGTAGCTGGCGCGGATGCATGCCCAATCCAAAGTCGTAGACGGGTTGACGAGGCTCGTTCAGAGCATCAACCAGCGAAATCAGATGAGATATCGACATTTTGTTTTAAGTTCTTTTTATATTTTCAGGTTATGTTGCTTCAGAAAAAAGTTTTCTGCCGGTTTAATAATCTTTTTTCGCACAGCGAAGTTCTGCTCTCGACGAATACTGTTGTTAAACTGTAACGGCACAGTGGTTGTCGCCTGCTTTTATAGCCGGCAACTGTGCTCTTCTGGAAACATCGCGCAAAGTCTAGAGAGCAGAAGAAAAACATCGCACAGTTGTCATAGTATGTGTAACTGAAAGAGCGAAACAACTGGTAAGAGTACTGTTGCTGTTGCTGTGTGAAAGAGAGAATCATAGGCTAGGAAAATAACAGCGAAGAAAAGCAAAGGCAACGCAAACGCACTCTTTGAATCTTTATTTACTTCAAATTTTAAGTACATAATACGCTTATTTTTACTGAATACTTGTAGTCGTAATTGTTTCACACTTGTTTAGGAAATCATAATTTCATATATCATAGTTGTCATCTCGTTTACCTGCAGGCCCTATCATGTATTATTTATTGTGAATTATTGAAAACACACAAACAAAAAACATTTATAGAATAAAACGCATTCCAATTAGATATTTTGTTCTGTTATCATTATTATTATTATTATTATTATTAGTTTTTGTTTAGTTCTCTGCCTTGTGTATCAATTGTCAGTCTCTACATTCACTTGGCCGCTGCTAGGGGCGGCTCCTCAGCCTTGCCGGCGGATGCTGCGCCGTTCTCGCTGGCCTGCTTCTTGGCCAGTAGAATTGCGGCGTCTACGGCAGCGATCTCCTCCGCGCCCTTGGCGGCGGACTTTTCGACTTTCTCCTGCTCCACGGGCGGCTCCTCGGTTTCTGTTTTGGCTTTCTTGGCGGCTGGCATTTCCACTTCTGCTTCTGGTTCGGCCGCAGCTTTTTCGGCATTCGAATTCGAGTTCGAGCTGGACGAATTACCGTTTGCATTGGCATCTTCGGTTTTCGCCTCATCGGCCTCGGTCGAGGCTGTGCCGCTGCTGCTGACGGCGGCTTCAGTGGAGTCCTCCTTCTCGCCAATGGTTGCGGTGGCAACAATGGCATCTTCAGCCGTGTCCACTTCCATTAACTTTGACTCCGAAATCGGCTGCTGCTGCTCGCCATTGGAATTAGAAGTGGAAATTGAATTGGAATTGGAATTGGAATTGGAAGTTTGCACAACGGGCTCAGTCTCTTTCTCTTTCTCTTTTGTTTTTGCATTTGCAGTTTCCTCAGCAATTTTAGTTGCGTTGACGTTGGCGTTGGCGTCGCCGTCGACGTCAGCGTCTGGCTCTCCATTGCCGCTGCCACTGCCGCTGCCGCTGCCGTTACGCTCCTCGGCGCTCTTCTGCTCGGTGATGGAAGCGACTGCAGCTGTTTTTGGGGTTGGCTGCTCCTCGTCGCTGGCTGCACTTTTTGCAGCTGGTATCTGCTGCGCATCCTTTGACTGCGCCAGCACGGCTAACGGTACTGGAACCGACTGCTGTATGTCGATGATGCGCTCAATGGGTCGCTCCTCGCCCGCTTTGGCGGCGGGCGGCGGCGGCGGTGGTGGCGCCTTAACGGTGAGTATGCCATCCGAAGAAAGCGTGGAATGGACATCGGCCGGATCGAAGCCCTTCGGCAGCATATATTTGCGTATAAAGTGACGCGAGATGACGCCGTGGCCGTCCTCCTTCTCGTCGTGCTGCCCCTCGACCACGATGCAGTTGTCGATGGTCTTTACGGTTAGCTCGTCAGGTGCGAACTGCTTGACGTTCATGCTCACCTGGAAACCGTTCCGATTGACCACCGAGTAGGCGGATGCCGATTTGCTGGCATTCACCGAGCTGCCGCCGGAGAGCGAGCCAGCGCCCGAAGTGGACGAGTTGACCTTGTCGCCCAGCTCCTTCTCCAGCTCCAGCAGCGACTTATTGCAGCAGACGGTCTTGGCGCCGGCCACACGGCTGTAGGGATGATGACGCTGCTGCTGGCCCTGCCCACCCTTGATGGGCACCCACAGCACCGACGCTGCTGGCGACTGAGCATGGGCGTGGGCGTGGGCGTGGGCAAGACGTGTGCCACGACGTGCACTGTTTGAGGGCGACAGCTGCGGGTGCGAGTGCTGGGGCGGCTGTGTGGCAGCCGATGCAGCGGCCAGCTGTTCCAGCGGATACATACCGAACCCAACATCGTCAATGTCCATGCCCATGCCCATGCCCAGGCCGAGGCCGAGGCTGGCGCTGCGATTGAAGTTAAAGTCGTGCAGCTCCTCGGCCAGATCGAGTATAAACGGGATTAGCGACATTCTCTGATTTCACTAGGGATGGGGCTTGACTTGACCTGACTTCGCTAGGCTGCTAATTGTCTATTTCTGGCTGGGATCTGGCGACACTAACACTGGCACTGGCACTGACACTGGCACTGAATCTCGCTGCTAGCGTTCCGTGTGCGATCCGTTCCGGCTTCTAACTGGATGGCGTTTGAGCTCTTATGGCTGAATGTTCAACCTTTTAAACGACTGTGCAGCGCTGAATGGAAAGCGAATGTCTGGCCTGGAAATGCGCTGCAGCAGCAGCCACGAGTGCCGGCTCGGACTCGACGGCGCTGTCGGTGGCTGCGTCGGCTTATGCAAAGTGAGGCTGGGCCAACGTTTCCCATGTGCAATCTTTGTTTATTTGCACAGTTTTGGCAAAAAATCAATAGAACAAAACCTGGCGGCGACACCCCTCGAAATAAGATCCAAAAATACGGCTTATCTACAAGCGTGCATATGTATGTATGTATGTATGTATATATGTCTTTATATATACATATGTATGTGTGCGTGTCTGCTTTTTCGCAATGCGAGGTTGGCAATTTTCCGGTTGCGAGAACAAAGAAAGTATTCCAGGCCGACGACGATGGAGACACACACAAACCGGCAACTTGAAAACCGGCTCCAGCCTCTCGACCTACGCCTCGGCCCTGGGCATGTATTCTCCAGACAATATATGTACATACATATGCATATTGTTTATATGCGCAGATTGTCGCAAACACAAACACACACACACTCAGACTCACATACATATACATAAATATAAATGAAGATAAGAGCATGTAAAGTGGCCATGTTGCAGCTGAATTCCCTGCGCTCAGCCGGCAAACAGCTAAACAGCTGAGAGGCCGCAAAAAATTGTTCGTGCCGGCGGCCGGTTACCGAACCGGCGCGATTGTAGCAACTACAACAACAGCTGGTTTGCTGCGCCTCTCCGCGGCACACGCACACGCACACACACACACATACAGATACATATGTATGTGCAAATGTGTCTGTGGTCTGGAAGGCCAACCGGCAACAGAAAATTCGTTGATAATAAGACCGTTTCGAAAAGGGGGCAACAGCCTGCAGTGGGGCAGACGCAAAGCATGCGCAGTGCCCCTTGTCGTTGTTGTATGCACACACATACATACATACATGTGTATATTATGAATTGCATTTGTCTGGAGCAACAAGAGCTGATGTGCGGCAGTCGCATGTATGTACATGCATAAAACATGTACGTGTACACATGTGTGCGTATGAAGTTTGTTACATATCCAATCAATTCCCAGACAAGAGGCAGACACTCGTTTGGAGACTTTTGCAATGGAGCAAACGTCAAACACAAACGGCGGCTGGAAACAAAGTTGAAGGTGTCCATTGATATGTATACACTTACGCATGTATACATGTTCAAGTATATGTACAAGTACATGTATAAGTGTAGAAAGTAATCGTTATCATGGAAATGCAGAAACAGAGTGGGATGTAGCTGTATGCTCACACTGTATGTACTTATGTATGCACATACATATGCCCCTGCAATAATATGTACAAATGTACGTACACTTTGTGTTATATACTATATTTTGTTATTTTATATTTTATTTGCATTGCCAAAAATCAGCCAGCAATTTTGGCTATAACATGACATGTACGGTGTGTGTATAGATATATGTGCATATATACATACATACACTATGAAAAAGCATTTACTTTCGTTTACTTACATATGTATGTGTGTACAAATGTATATGTATGCATAGTCGCAATGCCTGGGATGTTCGTATGTGTGCATGGTATCTATGCACATACATACGTATGCATGTACATATGTACGTATGCATGTAAATAAGTACATATGCATGTACATATGTACGTATGCATGCACATATTTACATATGTGCACAGAGTTACATCCCTTCGCAAGTTAACAATTATTGGCACTTGTATTTTTTACATAAATACATACATACAAACATAATATTCGCAATCTGTGGATACCCATAGAAGCATGAATGTACAAGTTTACATATATATATATATATATACATATGTTTATTGATATATGTACATACATACATGCATAGATAATTGTATACATTCTTACATACATACATATGTAAGTATCTACATTCCTGACTTAGTCAATGTTATATTTGTTGGCATATTTAGATTAACATAAATAATTTAAGTGTGCAGCACAAAATGAATGAACATGCATCTAGAAATTGACGGAACTTTCTTTCGTTTTCATTATTTTTGCTGTACGTGATTGTTCTTGTTGTTCTTATCACGCCCACTCACACAGAGTCCCTAGCTGCTGTTATCTCAGCGAAACACTCTCACTTTCATCGCAAGATAATGCTGCGATGCGTTTAAATACATAAATATGTATGTAAATATGTGTGGGCATATGTATGCATGTATTCGAGCGATTTCCAGAACATTTCCGAAATTATTCAACACTAGCCAGAGCCAGAAGTTTCGTAGGCTTTCCGCGACGCGCCGTCTCCCTCATTCGCACAAGCGCGCCCGCAAGCAAAAGCCACCACCCGAGCAGCTATAAATAGCCGGCGTGCTGCGTAGTCGGCGTCAGTTTGATTCGAAAAACCGAAGCAACAAGAAATATCTACACAAAGTCTCCAAACGAAGTATTCCTTGAAAAGGAGTCAAAGTCAAAGTCAAAGATCTAAAGCTAACCAGAAAGCAAATTTGTTTGAAAGTAAAAGTTCGCTACAAGGAACAACTGCGTACCAAGTATTGAGCATATAAGGAAGTCGAGTAAGCTTAAAGAAGAGTTATCAAGATGGCAAATCTTCCACTTCTCCTGAGCCTGGCTGATGACCTGAACCGCCTGTCGATGGCGCCCTTCTATGACACGCCCTACTACTGGCAGCGCCAGCAGCGCAATCCTCTTCTGGCACTGGCTGCCGTGCCCCTGGAACAGCAGCTGCGTCAGCTGGAGAAGCAGGTGGGCAGTGTTGCCGGACCGGTGTCCAAGGTGGGCAAGGATGGTTTTCAGGTGTGCATGGACGTGGCCCAGTTCAAGCCCAGCGAGTTGAACGTCAAGGTTGTGGACAACTCCATCATTGTCGAGGGCAAGCACGAGGAGCGCGAGGATGACCACGGCTATATCACACGCCACTTCGTGCGCCGTTATGCCCTGCCCCAGGGCTACGAGGCCGACAAGGTCGCTTCCACCCTGTCCTCGGACGGAGTGCTCACAGTCAGCGTGCCGAAGCCGGCGGCAATTGAGGATAAGGGCAGCGAACGCACCGTTCAGATCCAGCAGGTCGGACCTGCCCATCTCAATGTGAAGGAGAACGCCAAGGAGCAGATCGAGCAGGATGGCAGCGGCGACAAGTGAACTTAGCATCTCATATAATCCAAAGTCATTTGTAGTTTGTAGAATGCATTAACATAATATTAATCAATTATCAAAGTCGATGTCTGTTTTATATTATAACCCAACATACATACATGCATATGTAGGTGTGCCATACATACATATGTCGATATGTCAAAACTATAACTTGTATTTCGTTAAGCTTCTTTACAATTATGAATTGAAAATAAACAAAAACCTGTTTCAGTAATAAATGAGTTGAGTTTTCATTAAGGGTTGGATCAATTTGGCAGGAAATGCAAAAAATAGTCCACAGATATTATCGACATGCATATGACAATGTACATCATCGTACTCATATGTATGTACATCACAAGCGCCCCTAACTTATACAGTGTGTACATACATACATATGTATGTATGCACATACATTTTCGTAAGGCACTGCAAGATGTGTACACCCATGTGTACATACACACATACATATGTACATGAATGTCAGCCTATGTGTCCGTGTATATAGAGACATGTATGTATGTATATTTAAAATAATTCGAACAAACATACAAATGCATAAAAAGTTTAACAGTTTTTTCTGTTTTCCTTTTATTAAAAGCTCAAAAAATAACCCTTGAATTCAACTGCGAATTTCGCTATGAAGAGAACACCGAAATCGGTATATATGTACATACATACATACAGATGCACACATACACACAGGTATGTACATATGCAGATGTATATGCATGTTTGCACATACAATACATAAACAAAAAGAATGACAAACAAACCGGTCTCGGCAAACAGAGATAGCACGAGTTCATTGTACTTGCGAAACGCCAGTTTCACTGTATGCGATTTTCTCCCTGTGGACCCTTGAACGTACTTTAACATTTTAAACCGATGAATTTACAACAATGGCGAAAATGCAATAGGGATATATGTAAAAATACAGGCTCTTAAAATAAATGTACTCAAACATATAATGTATAAGCATACATATGCATGTATTTGCGAAGAACCAGAAACTCCAAGAAATTGCAAGAACTTTCCGTGTGTGAGAGAGGCAGAAAGATCGAGAGAACAAACACAACAATTTGCCGGCGCACACATACACACGCATGGCGACAGAAAGAGCGAGTAAGTTCAAGAGTGAAAAAGCAACAATCAGTCAACTTCTTGCTTGTGTGTGTGTGTGTCATTTTGGCGTCAGTATAAAAACCCGCTGCGCCGTCCGCTCCTCTTCATTTCAATTCGAACCGTTGTTTTAAACGTATCTGCTGCGCAGAAGCAAACAAAAAAGTTCTAATTAAAAAAGCAAGCACACAAGCAAAAAATTAAAATGTCGATTGTTCCACTCTTGAGTTTGGCCCGAGATCTGGATAGCGCCTACAATGACTGGGACCATTTCCTCGACGATGACTTCGGCTTCGGAGTGCACGCTCACGAGCTATTCCACCGTCCACGTCTGGTGATGCCACACCATCTGCATCGTCGCCGCTCTCACTTCATGCCATACGAGAGAAACCATCATCAATTGGTGCCGGCACGTCGTCGCGGCTCTGTTGGACAGAACGCTCTGCTGCCTGTCGTTGGCAAAGATGGCTTCCAGGTCTGCATGGACGTGGCACAGTTCAAGCCCAGCGAGCTGTCCGTTAAGGTGGTGGACAAGACGATAATCGTCGAGGGCAAGCACGAAGAGCGCGAGGATGGCCACGGCATGATCCAGCGCCATTTTGTGCGCAAGTATACCTTGCCCAAGGACTACGATGGCAATGATGTCGTCTCAACAGTCTCCTCAGATGGAGTGCTTACACTGAAGGCACCGCCGCCACCCAGCAAGGAGCAGGCTAACAAGGAGCGCATCGTGCAGATTCAACAAACAGGCCCTGCTCACTTAAGCGTCAAGGCGCCAGAGGGCGCCGCCGACGGTAAAGGCAAGAGCGAAAATGGTGAAAAAATGGAGACTGGCAAATAGAGGCGCGTGACAGAAAGAAGGAAGCGGAGTGTTGCCACACTGTTCGGAGAGTGCAAGACTTACCACATTCACACACACACCATACACAAACACACACATACCAAAACATGTACATCGCAAACTTCATCGCATGTTAGCAATAAGAGATTTTAAATGCACCCATTTGCAATGTAAGATTTCCACTTGGTTTACTCTATATGTATTATGTATTTTAAAAATACTATCCATGTAAATTAATATTTTTGTAACATGTAAAGGAACAGCGGCAGCACTCGACTTATGTATTTGCATTTATGTACACTGTGAAAATATAATAAATAAAAAATATTAAATTAAACGAATTGGCTTTAATGTTTTTTGATAGCAAAAGGTCCCTTTGGACGAAAATACATTATGGGCCCAATACATGTGTCCACTTGGGCGAATAGGGACATCAGCTTCTGGTCTACCGATTTGATTGATTTATTAAAGGTTATGAGTTTGGTACATAAATACATGCATACATACATACGTATGTAAAAATGAGCGACATACAGATATTATCTACATATGTGTGTGTGTGTACTTTGTTTCTTCATGCGTAAATGCATACATATGTACGTGTTTATAAATACTTGTGTGTATGTATGTACAAATGCATTCTGTATGGACTCTAATTTTAATGAACTGCAAATTTAAAACGCTTTAAGCTGTCTGTTAATAAGAGTATGTATATTAACATTAACTTGTACATATGTGTATACATAGCGACGCATACATGAGTACATGTACATACATACATTCATCTGTATGTAAGTTTCGAAAAATGTATTTTTATAAACAAGGAGTTCAAGAAGTGCAATTGAAGTTGACTTAATTTGCTTTGACTTTTTACAGTCTGCCAAGCTCTCTCTTTCTCTTTCACACAAGAGTGTGAGTATGAGTAAATATAGACTCATACTCACACTCTTAGCACTCTTTCTGTTTCACTCATTTGCGTCACGCACACACTCTCGCAAGCTCGCGATGTTTCTCGATTTGTTTCTCTGTTCGACACATAGCACACACACACGCACGAGCAATAGCTCGATATTTCTAGAAAATCGATTCAGCCGGCTATAAAAGCGGTTGTCGAACTCAGTTTGCCAACAGTTGAAAAAAAGTATTCGTCAAGCAAAGAACTTCGCCGTGCGAAAAACCCTTAAAAACAATTTTTGTTTTTTGAAAACTATAACTGAAAGTGTAATTGCAAAAGAAATGTCGCTGTCTCAATTGATTTCGCTGGTCAATGCACTGCAGGAGCCCCGCGACCCCGACTACGACTTTGGATTTGGCGTGCAGCCGCGCCAGCTGCAAATCTGGGCCGCGCCACAGCTATTGAGTCCTTGGGAGTGCGCCCATCCGGTCTGCCCCAGCTCGCCGGCCGCAAAGATCTTGGCCAAACGGCGCAATCGTAATTTGGCAAAGGGAGCAGGTGGTGATGCCGACGGACTGCGTTGGCCCGTCTCGCAGGTGGGCAAGGATGGATTCCAGGTGTGCATGGATGTCACCCAGTTCGCGCCCAGCGAGCTGAACGTCAAGGTGGTGGACAACTCTATTGTGGTCGAGGGCAAGCACGAGGAGCGCGAAGACGACCACGGCTACATCTCGCGCCACTTTGTGCGTCGCTATGCCCTGCCCCAGGGCTACGATGGCGACAAGGTGGTCTCCTCTCTGTCCTCCGATGGCGTGCTCACTGTGAGCGTGCCGAAGCCGCAGCCCATCGAGGACAAGTCCAAGGAGCGTGTGGTTCAGATCCAGCAAGTGGGACCCGCTCATCTGAATGTGAAGGAGAATGCCGTCGAGCAGAAGCTGGAGGATTCGAAAGCCGAGGCCACCAACGGCAAGCCCGCCAAGAAGTAGAAGCTAGCTGGCGGGCACACCCAATCCTGCTCCTCATCATCACATACCTATGTATTTATTAGATACCATAAATAGTATAACGAGCTAAAGACTAATAATAAAATAATCTTAGTTAAACCAACTGAAACAGAATTCAAAAGTTTCTTCTTGAGTGTAGTCCAGAGGATTTGGGTTTTTGTATATTTATTGCGCATTTGAGTTTATTTCTATTTATTCAAAACTAATTGAAATTCTCGATGCAGCTCGTTGGCCATAAATAGATGGGTTCACCTTGAATTTGAAAATGTGCCCGCTGCACGAGGCCGGGGGGGCTGGGCGGGATTCGGAGCAGCTGCTACTTCCAGGGCAGGGCCAGTTTGCCCGTCTCGTGCACGTGGACGAGGCGCTCGCCGGGACTGTAGTATTTGGCTGGCGGCGGCGGCGGCGCCTTGATGGTCAGTATGCCGTCCGAGGAGATGTCCGAGATGACCTCGTTGGCATTGTAGCCGCGGGGCAGGAGGTACTTGCGCACAAAGTGCCGCTCCACGTAGCCGTTGGGGCCCTCGCTGCGCTTGTTGTGATTGCCCTGGACAATGATGTAGTCGTCGTTGGTCTTGACCACAATCTCCTGCGGCCGGAACTGACGCACATCGATGTCGATGCGGAAGCCCTTCTCATCCGCATGCACCCGCTCGCCGGAATAGTAGTTGTCCCAGCGCATGGGATATGTCCACTCGTGGGGCGTCGATTGTATGAGCTGGTTGCGTACTCGGCGCGTGACCAGCTCATCCAAGGGCCGCAGATAGTCGCTGCTGGCGGAGGAGGGCCACCAGACGCGCGGATCGTCCCAGAGATACGGGTACAGCTGGAAGTCGTAGGGCGGCTGATGATAGATGGGACGCGGTCGGTCCAATTCCCGGGAGAGATCACGATATGTGGTTGGCACCAAAGCCATTGCGCGTCTCAGATTCTTATAGAACCTGTCGACGGCGCTGTCAGTGCTTTTATAGCCCAAGTCCCCGAGACGACGACGACGACCAAATTGGCCTCGGTTCGAGTCGGATGCGGATGGGCGTTGTGATGAATCATTTGCCCGATGCGCGAAGGCCAACAAACAAGACACAAGCGTGTCGCCCAACCTCAAATGCAACGGCAATTTATTGGACGCGAGTCAAGAAGTGGACGACGTCATCAAGGCACAAGGCGTGGCCAAAGGGGGCGGCACAAGTGCAAGTGGCCGCCGATGCCAAGCATAATAAAATGTTCAAAATACATATCTACTTTTTGTTTATGTTTATTTCATTATTTCTATATAAACTATTATAACTTTTTAAGACTAGGAGTTGCCACAAAGCCGATTGGGTGCGGCTTATCTTTGGCTGCATTTACTGCTCCTTCTGCTTCTCGGCGGGCTCCTCCAGCGGTGGATTAGGCTTCACGTTCAGCTCCGCAGGTCCGGTCTGCTGTATGGGCACGACACGTTCCTTGAGCGCTTCTTGAACAGCTGGTGGATTGGGCACATTGATGGTCAGTATGCCATCGCTGCTTAGGCTGGATGTGGTCTTGTCGGCCTCGTAGCCCTCGGGCAGAGCAAAGCGACGCAGAAAGTGGCGAGAGCTGTAGCCGCCCTGGTCATCCTCCTGCTGCTCGGACTTGCCCTCGATGACGACGCTGTTGTTCACCGTCTTCACCGTCAGTTCATTGGGCTTGTATTCGCTGACGTCCAGGCACACCTGGTAGCCCTGCTTGCCAATGGTTGCCGCCGGCGAAAATTGTTGCTCCTGGCTGCGCGCAATCTGTTGCCAGTTGCGCGGCACCGTCAGGCCAGTCCACATGTGCGGCTCGTGGAAGAAGGCCTGGAATGGCGAGACACGCGGCATCCTGGTCAGCTCCTCGGCCATACGTAGAAACATGGGCAATGAACGCATCTTTCCTGGTCACAATTTGTAATGTCTGCAATTTGTGGTGAAATTCTCTTTTGCTGCTTGCTTCACGCGAGCTCCGTTCGCTTTGACTGATTTGATTCAACTGTGGAGAGAGCGCGACGCCGGCTGCTATTTATACGAAATGCTGCTGCGCTCGAGAACGTTCCGGCGCTCTCTCGACTTGGCAGCTGATGCAATTTTGAGCGCTTCTAGAATATTTTTACCTTTTTGGCATTTAACCAGCGTTCAGCTTGTGAACTTTAAAACTAAATATATTTTCGATTAATTTCACGCTCATCAATCAAACTTTCGATTATTCTAAAGCACTTTTTCTAATGCGACGCAGTTTTGCGGCATTTACAAAAAATGTAAGGCAGGTCAGTTTGGTAACGGAAAAGAGAGCAGCAAGCATGGAAGATAAAAAAAGAGAATATGTGTGCGTGTGCTCCGCAAATAAGCTCGCGTGTGCGTGTGTGTGTGAGAGACAGAGAGAGAAGGGGAGGCACAAATATAAGACATGGGCGTAGTGTGAGGGTGCGCACAAATTTGTTTAAGCTTGAGTATTTACTTAGCTGTAATTTTTATTTTAAACATTTTTCGCATGAGCTTTGTTTAACAAATTCACACATACAGAATATTGCTCTAGAAAAAATTGATCAAAACTGAAAGGGGCTGTTAAACATAAACTTAAACATGGGTGAAAATTTAGAAACTCATCAAGCTAGAGATTTTCTAGAAAAAAAGAAAAATGGGCACACTTTTTTTTTGCTTGGGTATTCATTTTGGGGCAGAAAACTATTGAAAAGCCTTTCATATTCGATTTGAGAAACGTAAAAAATAAGAAATAATAAGAAATTCTAGACTACAAGTTTTGTACTCTCTTCAATGTAGGTGCTATATAGTATATTTATAATCAGACGAGTTCCACTTGAAATACTTGCTTTTAAAATCGAAATTTATTCCAAAACCATATTTTCAATTGTGTGCACATATCATAAATGGAATTTAAACATTGTAACTAAGTGATATTTTAAAGGCCAAAAGTAAGTGCGGGTGGATCTCACTGTGGCAGACCCTCCTTCTCGGCCCACTCCAGCCAGGAGCCGTGATAGACGCTCAGGCTGTAAAGATTCCATATATATTCCATATATAAGTATATATGCCATAAATAGCTTCTAGTTCCCTAACTCACTTGGTGAAACCTGCGCTCTTGGCGATCTCTGCGGCCTGCTGGGCGCGTCTGCCGGAGCGACAAGTGAATATGATTTCCGCATCGTTGCCCGGCTTTGCGCGGCCATATTTCTGTGCAAAATCCTCAGCCGCAGACTTCAAAGCGGACTCCAGTTCGGGCACTGGAATGTGAATGATAAGAGTATAAAAAACAGATTCCAGCGCTGGGCTTGCATGTAGTCACAGGGTATATTGAGGCTGGCGGGTATGCTGCCCGTGGCCGCCAGTTCGTCCGGATTGCGAACATCAATCAGGTAAATCTCTGGATGATTGGGCACATCTTTGACTCGCGCGTAGCTAGCAGACATAATGCTGTGATCCAAATGCAAATGATCAGTAGTACTCAATGCTACGCTTTCACCACGCTTGCCCGACGTCGGATCACTAAGTTCTCCGCTCGGCCAAGCGCCAGCATTTATTATGGGCGAGAGCGCGGCTACGGCCAAGACGATGACGACAACGTCGACGGCGACGGCGACGGCGACGGCGACGGCGACAGCAGAGCCGCTGTTCAAGTTTACCGGCCGCATGCTAGAGCTAGCTTAGACTAACCGCAGCTGGACTTCGATTGCGAATCGAATTCCAACCTGTTGCCGGTTTCCATTGTTGTCGCTTTGTGGTTAGGCGCTGGCGACACTTCAACGCCGCCGGCGACGCCAGCCACTCGTCGGATTTCAGCTGAGCAGCTACTTCGGTGCGATTTGTTTGGCAAACGCCCAGACTTTGTTTATTTGTATACCCTTGCAGAGAGTATTTGTATTTTGTCGTGTAATGTGTAACGCATAGAAGGAGACATCTCCGATCCCATAAAGTATATATATTCTTGATCAGCAGCCGAGTCGAGTCGAGTCCGTTTGTCCTAGTCTCTCAGCTTTAAAGTTATCTTTGTGAAACCTTGCAGAAGTCCCTCTTTCTGTTGCAGCTGGATCGGAACACTATATCATATAGTTGCCATAGGAAGGATGGGTTGAAAATTAAGTTGTATGGAAAACTTTTTTGTTTATCAAGATATCCTGACCAAACCCGGCATTTATAAGTTTTACTATGCTCCTCATATATATGCAAAGTCCCATTAAGATCGGACCACTATATCATATAGCTGCCATAGGAACTATCGGTCGGAAATAAAGTTGTTGTATGGAAGACTTTTTTGTTTATAAAGATATCCTGACCAAACTCGGCATTTATTAGTTTTACTATGCTCCTCATATATATGCAAAATCCCATTAAGATCGGACCACTATATCATGTAGCTGCCATAGGAAACATCGGTCGAAAATTAGGTTTTTGATTAAAAACCTTTTTTGTTTATTAAGATATCTTAACCAAACTCGGCATTAACTATTTTCCCTGTGCTTCATAGATACGGGCAAAGCACTTTGAGCATTATGACAAGGTTGGGTCTGCAAGGGTATTAGATCTTCGGCGTGCCGAAGATAGCCTTTCTTTCTCGTTATTTTTTGAAAATATATCGAATTTTAATTCGAACTGCAATGTCTGCGGTTTTTCCTAATTTCATTTAAATCAAAAATTTTTTTTCGCTCTAAAAGCTTCAGCCGCAACTTCGAAAGCTTGGATTTGGTCCAGAAAATTCCCAGTTGTCGCTCCAATAAAGCTCGCAAAGGGCCAGAGCTTTCGCTCTGCGCTCGAGTATAAAAGGCGACCCTGAACACAAGAACTTCACATTTACGACGCGATATTCGAGTTGAATTGTGCTCGGCACAGCCGCAAATTTCCACCCGCTGACAAATCAACCCTCACCTAAGGAAAACAGGTCGCCGTCGCAGTCAGGTTCAGTGAACTTGCAACAGATACAGATACTGAGAGTTTTGTGAAATAATTGAAGGCAGAAAAAAAACTAAGAAAAATCAGCAAAATGCCAGATATTCCATTTGTGCTGAACTTGGATGCGCCCGAGTCCATGTACTATGGCCACGATATGTTTCCCAATCGCCTCTATCGCAGGCTGCACTCTCGCCATCACGATGCCCTGGATCTGCACACATTGGGTCTGATTGCCCATATGGGTGCCCATGCACGTCATCTGGTGACCCAGAAGCACAGGGCTGAGCTGGGCACAACTACCGCCGCTGGCCCGGATAAGAAGGGCAACTATCAGGTGAATCTCGATGTGGGCCTGTTCGAGCCGGGTGAGCTCAGCGTTAAGCTGGTCAACAATTGCGTCATCGTTGAGGGCAAGCATGAGGAGCGCGAGGACGAGCACGGCCATGTCTATCGTCACTTTGTGCGTCGCTATCCTCTGCCCAAGGAGTACGATGCAGATGCCGTTGCCTCGACTTTGACTGACGAGGGCGTGCTCACTATAACCGTGCCCCCGTTGGTCGCCGAGGAGGAGGGCAAGGAGCGTATTATACCCATTAAGCATGTGGGACCATCCGATCTCTTTTTGCAGAAGGACAACGGACACAAGGAGCTGGCCGAGGGCGAGGCTAAGTAAGAGCCTAAATAGTTGCGCCATTAAGCAGCAAAGTGATTTCCTAAGACTCCCATTTTTATTGCACCCCGAAGATAATAAAATTTAGCACGCTACATTTTTACAATTCACATGTATTATTCATTGATAAATTAACCCATTTAAACTTAACTATTTTACTAACTAGCTTAGATTTAAAACGAAATCAATTATGGCATCAGTATTAATAAATGTATCTTAATGTCTAAAAAGATTTTGCAGTTGTCTTTTTTTTTTTACTTTAAGCAAATTGGCCTAACATTTTCTGTTTTAAACTATAAAAGAGAACACAAAAAATTAAAAACCAATATATTCGATAACTTCATTTCGATTAAATTTATCGGGCTATTCAGGCAGCTGAGTAGAGTGACCATTTTTTGGTATTTTCAAAATGGTAATTTGAGTTATTTGCAAGTCGACGTGCACGGTCACACTGATCACAACAATAATAAATAAACATTAAAAATGCTGCAACGCGTACAACCGAGAGTAGAAAATCCTCGCTATGGTCAGCTGATTATTGGGCCACCTGGCTCAGGCAAGACGACGTACTGTAACGAGGCGTATAAATTCTATAAAGAGTTGGGCCGGCAAGTTGGCGTTGTCAATTTGGATCCGGGGAATGACAACATGGCCTATCAGCCGGTGGTCAATGTGATGGAATTGATTACCGTGGAGGATTGCATGGAGCACATGCAGCTGGGGCCCAACGGAGCGCTTATGCATTGTGCCGAGTATCTGGAGCAGCATTTCGAGGATTGGCTGCTGCCGGCGCTAAGGAAATTGAGTGCAACGCACAACTACTTCCTCTTCGATTGCCCGGGCCAAGTTGAACTCTACACTCACCACAATGCCATGGCGCGGATTTTTGAGCGCTTAGAGGCGGAGCGCTACAACCTGGTTACAGTGAATCTCATCGATTCGCATTACTGCTCGGAGCCGGCAAAGTTCATAGCCACGCTGCTGATGGCCCTGAATACAATGATGCGAATGAGTTTGCCGCACGTGAATGTGCTGTCGAAGGCGGATCTGCTGCGTAAGCACGAATCCAAATTGCACTTCAACGTGGACTTCTACACAGATGTGCTGGATCTGAAGTATTTGCTTGAGAAACTGGACGATGATCCGACAATGCGCAAATATCAGAAGCTGAACGAGGCCATTTGCTCCATGGTAGAGGATTATGCCCTAGTTTCCTTTAAGCTATTGGACGTCTTCAGCACAGACAGCATGCTCCGACTGCGCAACCACATTGACAAAGCAAATGGCTACGTGTACAAGGCAGGCGAGGAGCAGACGGTTAACTCTTTGCTAGCCTGCGCCGTCGGCGCCGAAACTGAGGCAATGCGTCAGCAGCACGATATTGAACCTTATGTGAAGCAGCCGTAGCGAACATATGCTAAAATTTAGTTGTATTTATCTTCTAGTTGAAAATGGGTTTATCAACATCCTGTCGCCAAAAATTTGCCCTTAAAACTGGCCAAGTCGTTGAACACATAAAATAACACTCTGATTGTAATTTCCTGTGATAAATAAATGCTTCACTACACAATTGCGGTACATTAGTTTCTTAAGCAGCTCATTGTAAAAAGAAATAAAAGAATATTGAATTTAAACAACATTCTTTGGATTTATATTGTAAAATTCAAACTCGAGCGGGCGTTTATTCCTGTGTAATGTGCGCCCCATCACTGAGACAAGTTATGGGCAGCACTGTTCTGCATGGTATCGTCTGAAATCGATACGCAGTGTTGCTATTGATTATCAATTGACAGTTTAAGCCGTTACAAGCATATTGACCGCGCTCCAAGTTGAATTATATTTTTAACTTTGCAAGTTCATTGCAAGCTAAATACGCGCAAAGTATTTCATTCATTTATGTCTCGCTTACAATGTGATAAGCTGAATGGCGGCGTAATTTATGGTTTGCGTATTTCTTATGTAATTTATTTATAATCTCAGCCTTGGTATATTCTTTAGGTCAGTTTCATAATATCATTGCGAGTGAGAAACCGTTTTATCGCTTCAAAGTTGCTGAATTGCACTTCCAGCTTTAGACTCAGCTTCAACTTGGCACATTTTAAGTCGATAAGACGAATAAAAAGTGAATTTGAAACGCGTACCAGTTAGAACTTTGATTAGACATAAACAAAATGGCGACTGGCTTCAGTGCCAGGCCTATAAAAGCCGCTGGGGATTGGGACAGCGTCATTAGTTGCGTTCGCGCGGTTGCCTCGACCTACGGATCTGGATTGTGAATATGTTTCCAAGTGCATAAATTCAGTGTATTGTGTTATTGTGTGTTAATTGTTAAGTGGATCTCAAGGATTCGCAGGATAACTGCTTGCTTGGAATTTCAAGATCAAGGAACTAATGGATTACCAGTGATTTATGAAGCTGCTGTGTTAACAAGAGGATATCTTGCAAGCCAAAAAAAATGGCAAATAAATATATATACTTTCTAGCATGGCTGCTCATTTTCAGCCAAGTGTGTGCCGAAGAAGGCGACATAGTCATGTCTGATGATGATGATCAAAGTATAGAGTGAGTGAATGGCTACAAATCACAAAAAAAAAAAAATATATGAACTATTGTCCTATTGCGGCAAAGATTGGTTACAATTTTAAGTGCTTTCATATTTGTATAAAACCAAAAACTTTAAAGTTCTTACAAGATGGAAAACAAGTGAAAGAAACTCCTCCTCCATTTCCAGGCGACTTCCGCTGCGGAACGCCAACTAATTTAAGAGAACCTAAACTGCTTGAAACTATTTCTCATAGTTATTAAATTTTATCTAACGCAATGCCACTTGGCACAATATTCGCTACTTGATAGTCCCCTGGTTCGGGCCGTGCCGGAAGCTGATAATCAGGAACGCGACGAGCGCCATTTAAATTTTAAAATTCATCGAGCGCCCGCTGTGAGGTACGATGCAGATAAAATAATTGCATAACGACAAAAAAAAATACAAAAATCATTATATTATATGATATTCTATAGTGCGCGCTATAGCTACAGTTACAATGATGGAGTTGGTCAGGGAGGAGCAGGAGGCGGAGGCGGGGGCGGAGGCTATGGTGCCCAGCATGGCGCATTTATGGGCGGCATTAAGACATCGGGGTGAGCATCAGAACGAATGTAGTTTCGTTTTTAATACAGGCTTGAAAATGTAATTAACTTATTAATTTAGTTCACACTTGATGAACAATGCGCTTGGTCTGCTTGGCATTGGCAAAGGGTAATATATCCCCTAGAAAGAATTCAAGTTTATATCTAAGCAAATCTATTCCCAGTGTCAAGGGCAACTTTTATGGCAACGCGGCCCAACAATTGAGGGCATATGGCAAGTGCGCCGCAATCACGCTGCCGCAAAATGTTCAGTCCCAGTGCGATGGCAATGGTCGCTGTCAGGTCTATTGCCCGGATGGTTATACCTTTTCCCAGGACACAAAACAGCTTGAACTGTTTTGCAGCAACGACGGCTGGATCATACGCAACTCGGAGTTTACCAGAGTGCCGCCGTGCCAGGCCACATGCATGCCGCCGTGCCAGAACAATGGCATCTGCCTGGCAGCCGGCGTTTGTCAGTGTCCGGAGAATTACTCGGGTCCGCTGTGCCAGCACAAGAAGTCCGTGTGCGCGGCCAAGCCGCCGGTGCCGAAAAACTCTAAGGTATCCTGCAAGAACAAGTAAGTCAGTCCTTGAGCTGTTCACATCACAGCTGCACTAATGCATATCTATTATGTATGCAGCCTTTGCCATGCCGAATGCATGCGCGGCTTTCAGTTTCCAGATGGCAGCGGCATCACCAACATCGAGTGCCGCAATGGTCAATGGCTCCACACCAAAACCGGCCTGGCCAAAATGCCTGATTGTGGACGTAAGTTGTGCTCTCCAATAGGCTAATAACCTAAGCTGACTTCGGGTTTTTTTCCCACAGCGACCTGCTCGCCGGCGTGCCAGAATGGCGGTCAGTGCATCAGCTTCAATATCTGTCAGTGCTCCAAGATGCATCGCGGCGCGTTCTGTCAATACAGTGAGCACATTGAGTGAATGTCCGGTTAAATGATTTGCTTAACATCCTTGTGTATCTTCTCAGGCATCTCGAGCTGCAATGTGACCAATACCCATTTCAATGGCAACTACAAGTGCGCCTACGATACGGAGGAGGCGCGCTGCACATTCAGCTGTCCGGAGGTGCGTGGCCTTAAGGTGCAAGGACGCTTGGATATTGAGTACAAATGCAAATATCAGCAGGGTGTCTACCAGCCGGCGCCGTTGCCAAAATGCGTTTTTCGTAAGTTGTCGCTAAACTGCAGTTTTTTAAGATTATTAAAAGAAAGTTTTCCTTGCACAGCTCCCGGATATACCATTAAATCGGGTAGCGTACAAGTGACGCATATGCAACAAGCGGGTCGCTCCTACCATGGTGCCTTTAGCGGCGAGATAACGTCAGAGCTGAGAAGCCAGCGTGAGATTCTGTTGGCGTTGCTGGCCAAGTACAAGGATTTGGAGCGCAGAAGTGTAAGTTGAGCTAAGGAATTGTGTGTGCAGAACGTAATGTTCTTTATATTTGTCAGGAATGGTGGTCATCGGAGGAAACGGTGACAACTCTGGGCAGCTACTCCTTGTACATGAGCAGCGAGGTGGATGTAGTTGTGGACAAATCGCCCAGACCAGCGCTGTGCACCACCTGGGGTGGCATCAATATCAAGACATTCGACGGTTTGGTTTTCAAGTACGTATTCGATATATTGATAACTGATCGATAGCTTTGAATATGATCAATTGGCATCGATCGATGTCTTATTGCCGCATATTGTATTTCAAATTTGCAATAAATTTTCTTTCTATTTCTAGGGCACCTTTGTCGTGCTCACACACACTGACCACGGACAAAGTTTCTGGCACATTTGATGTCACACTGAAAGCCTGTCCTTACGGCTCTGGCTATGGCTGTGCGCACACGCTGAAGATTCAATGGCAATCGGTGCTTTATACGCTGGAGAACTTGAGTGAGTAGCACACAGAAACCCATAATGAGAGCTATGAATGCGACTGATAATTGTTTGCTTTTCAGATGGCACAATGCGCCTGTCCACGCCCACCAAACAGCTGCCCATCCCGGTGCAGGTGATGGGCATGAAGGTGATGCCAGTGGCACAGCATGTGCAAATAGATCTGGAATCTATTGGCCTCAAGCTGGACTGGGATCACCATCAGTATGTGGCTGTGCATGCCGGGCCCGCCATGTGGGGCAAGGTGGGCGGCTTGTGCGGCTCCCTGGACGGCGATAACAGTAACGATTTGATGTCCAGAACTGGAAAGAAGCTGGAAACAGTCAAGGCATTTGCCGACGCCTGGCGTGTGGACGATAGCAGTGAAATGTGCCGCGTTGAGAACAGCGCCGAAATGGAATTTGGCATCGAATCTTGTGAACAGAGCAAACTGCAGAAGGCTGTCAGCATCTGTGAGCGTCTGCTGGCCAACGAAAAGCTGAGCGACTGCATCAAGCCCTTCAATTACGATGCACTCATACGCACCTGCATAGCTGACTACTGTAACTGTCCAAATCGCGAAAAGCCCGAGAGCTGCAATTGCGATGCCATTGCCATGCTGGCCAAGGAATGCATGTTCAAGGGCATTCAATTGCAACATGGCTGGCGCAATCTGGAAGTGTGCCGTGAGTAGCTATGACTATTTAGATAAATGTTTCCGGTAACAAATGTTCTCTCTCTCAGTCGCCATTTCTCTCGCTTGTCAAATCTTGATTTCACTTTTCACTATTTTTAAAGATTCATCTTATATGGATCTGTCCATATTTGGGAGATAACCCTTACCCAAGTCTACCTTAACATACATCTTAATTTATATATGAATATTGCTATGCACTTACCCACAAATGCACATGAAGAGGCAGGATTATTTTATTGGCATCTATTAGGCGAGAGGCTTTTATACACACCTGTAAGACACAAAAGAATTAGAAAGGATAAACATACCAGCAAAAGGAAGAGAAACAAAATTAAAGAGATAGATTGAGAGCAGGCAATTTATAAAAACTCAGAAGTTTTTAACATACACTTTCTAATACTCATAATTAAAGCTCATTTAAATTCATGAGAATCGCATTGTAGGGCAGTCTTTACAGATCTTTATTTTGAAAAGGTATTGGTTAAGAAGAAGGCTTCTTTAAATTACAGCGCAGCAAGTCCTGCAGTTTTTCATAATGCAAAACGAATTTGTTTCTATCTAACAGAAAGACCGAAACTAAGAGGCAAGTTTGCATAGAATCAGACAGTCGCTATAAAAATGTCAGGGATATCGAGTAACAGAGAAATATGGAAGGAAATGCAAATATTCCGATTTTTCCTATTAAATATTTCATTAACTTACCATTTTGAAATACTCCAACAGCTATTAGTTGCGGCTTTGGACGCGTCTATCGAGCCTGTGGACCCGATGTGGAGCCAACCTGTGAATCGGAGTTGACAAGTTCTTCTCCCACGAAAGGCAAGTGCAACGAGGGCTGCTTCTGCCCCGAAGGCACGGTCCAATACAAGGACGCGTGCATAACACGGGAGCTGTGTCCCTGCTCATTACGTGGTCGCGAGTTCAAGCCCGAAGCGACAATCAAGAAGAACTGCAATACGTGTACTTGTAAGAATGGGCAATGGAAATGCACGGACGATAAGTGTGGTGCACGTTGCGGTGCCATTGGTGATCCTCATTACCATACTTTCGATGGCAAGCGATATGACTTTATGGGCAAGTGCTCTTACTATCTGCTGAAGACGCAAAATATGTCTGTGGAGGCGGAGAACGTTGCCTGCTCTGGTGCCGTATCGGAGGCACTTAGCTATGCGGCGCCCGATGATCCTTCCTGCACCAAATCGGTAACCATACGTTTCCTGCTGCGCGATGGCACACCGGCCACCATCAAATTGGATCAGGGCTTAACAACTGTTATCAATGATAAACCTATTGCCAAGCTGCCCAAGATGATGGGCCTTGGTGAGGTGTTGATACGACGCGCCAGCTCTACGTTTCTGACCGTGGAGTTTGCCGGTGGCATACGCATCTGGTGGGATGGCGTCTCGCGTGTATATGTTGATGCGCCAGCCAGTTGGCGTGGCCAAACGCAAGGCCTATGCGGCACATTCAATTCCAATACACAGGACGACTTCCTAACACCTGAGGGCGATGTTGAAACGGCGATTGAAGCGTTTGCGGACAAATGGCGCACCAAGGACACCTGCCAGTTCCAGGCGGAGACCCATCAGGGACCGCATCCATGCACGCTTAGTCCAGAAAAGAAGGCGCTTGCGGAAAAGCACTGCGACTGGATACTGCAGGACATCTTCCAAGAATGTCACTTCATGGTGGAGCCGGAACAGTACTACGAGGACTGCCTGTACGATACTTGCGCCTGCAAGGATGAGCCTGAGAAATGTTTCTGTCCCATTCTCTCCGCCTATGGCACCGAATGCATGCGACAGGGCATCAAGACCGGTTGGCGTATGACTGTCAAAGAATGCGGTGAGTATTAATGGGTTTAATTAAGCGGAATCTTAATCAATGTCAATAATACCTTTCAGCTGCCAAGTGTCCAATGGGTCAGGTCTTTGATGAGTGTGGTGATGGATGTGCGCTCACTTGCGACGATTTGCCTGGCAAGAACAGCTGCACCCGTGAGTGTGTCGAGGGCTGCCGCTGTCCACATGGCGAGTACATCAACGACCAGGGCGTCTGTGTGCCCAAGCACAAGTGCCATTGCAGTTTTGATGGCATGATCTTCCGGCCTGGCTATAAGGAAGTGCGGCCCGGTGGCAAATTCCTTGACCTTTGCACTTGTGCAGATGGCGTTTGGGATTGTCAAGATGCCGATCCTGGTGATGATGTTAAGTATCCGCCTTCATCCGAACTGCGCAGCAAATGCGCCAAACAGCCCTATGCGGAGTTTACCAAATGCGCGCCCAAGGAGCCAAAAACATGCAAGAACATGGACAAGTATGTAGCCGAGTCCGCGGACTGCTTGCCTGGCTGCGTCTGCATGGAGGGCTATGTCTATGATACATCCCGGCTGGCCTGTGTGCCGCCTACAAATTGCTCTTGCCATCATGCTGGGAAAAGCTACGACGATGGCGAAAAGATCAAGGAAGACTGCAATTCGTGCGTTTGCCAGGCGGGCAACTGGAAGTGCTCCGAGAATGGCTGTGAATCCACCTGCAGCGTGTGGGGCGACTCACATTTTACAACTTACGATGGCCATGACTTTGATTTTCAGGGAGCTTGCGATTACGTGCTCTCCAAAGGTGTTTTCGATAACGGCGATGGCTTCACTATTACCATACAAAATGTGCTGTGCGGCACAATGGGAGTCACTTGCTCCAAATCACTGGAAATTGCTCTAACTGGACGTGTCCAAGAGTCTTTGTTACTTAGCGCGGACGCGACTTACAGCGTAGATCCCAATAAGTCGCCCATTAAGAGTGAGTATTTTATTGTAGTATCGATATTGGTACCATTAATAAACTCGAAGTACTCAATGGCTCGATTAACCGATAAATAATTAATAGTATCGATACAATTGTGAAATACTCATAGATCGATTATATTATAACGTTTTTTTTTTCAATAAGAACTACGAGACAGCGTCAATTCCAAGGGCCACAATGCTTTCCACATTTACAAATCTGGCGTATTTGTGGTAGTTGAGGTTATTCCTCTCAAGCTGCAAGTCAAATGGGACGAGGGCACGCGCGTTTATGTCAAACTGGGCAACGAGTGGCGCAACAAGGTCAGCGGCTTGTGTGGCAACTACAATGGAAATAGCCGGGATGATATGCAAACGCCATCATTGGGTCTAGAGACGAGTGCCATGCTGTTTGGCCACGCCTGGAAACTGCAGCCACATTGCGCTGCACCCGTAGCACCCATCGATGCCTGTCGTCAGCATCCAGAGCGCGAAACCTGGGCGCAACTAAAATGCGGCGCTTTGAAGTCGGAGCTTTTCAAGCCGTGTCACGCTGAGGTGCCGCTGGAGCGTTATCTGAAGCGCTGCATCTTTGATACGTGCGCCTGTGATCAGGGCGGCGATTGTGAATGCTTGTGTACAGCTGTGGCGGCCTATGCGGATGCCTGTGCCCAAAAGGGCATCAATATACGCTGGCGATCCCAGCATTTCTGCCGTAGGTTTAATTTTTGAGCCATTTTTACTATTTGTAAACGTGTACTTTTCCAGCCATGCAATGTGATCCGCACTGTTCGGAGTACAAGTCCTGCACACCTGCCTGTGCCGTGGAGACTTGCGACAACTTTTTGGATCAGGGCATTGCAGAGCGCATGTGCAACCGCGAGAACTGTATCGAAGGCTGTCACATCAAGCCCTGTCAGGATGGCTTCATCTATTTGAACGACACCTACCGCGAGTGTGTGCCCAAGGCTGAGTGCAAACCCGTCTGCATGGTGAAGGATGGCAAAACCTACTATGAGGGTGATGTTACCTTCCAGGATGCCTGTGCTACGTGCCGTTGCTCGAAGCGCAAGGAGATCTGCAGCGGCGTTAAGTGTGATGCTCCGGTTGCAGTGCCAACGCCGGCGCCACTTGTTGAAGGCACCACAGAAAAACCGTTGGCTACGCAGAACCAAACCAAATGTGTGCGCGGCTGGACGCGCTGGTTCGACAACGACGCCGATGCCACGGAGAAGACTGTGCGTCTAAACGATGAGGAGAAGCTGCCGCGCTATGATCGCCTGGAGAACATCTATGGTACATGTCTCAAACAGTACATGACCAAGGTGGAATGCCGGGTGAAGAACACGCATGAGCCGCCAGAGCAAATGGACGAGAATGTGGCATGCAGCTTGGCGGTCGGTTTGCGTTGCATTGGCAAGTGTCATGACTATGAGCTGCGCGTTTTTTGCCAATGCGACGCGGAGCCGGAGCCAACAACGTCAAAGCCAATCGAGAAGCCGCAAATTGGCGCCAGCTGTGATGTTGGCGTTGTCGAGTACAAAGAGTATCCCGGAGATTGCCACAAGTTCCTGCATTGCCAGCCCAAGGGCGTTGACGGCGGTTGGGTATATGTGGAGAAGACCTGCGGCGAATCCATGATGTTCAATCCCACCATGTTTAATTGCGATCATATCGCGATTGTGCAGGAGCTGATACCTAGCTGCGGCAAGCGCAAGCCCGACCCCGAGCCGGAGCACATCATGCAGTGCGACGAGGGCAAAGTCTGGTCGGAGTGTGCCAATCAGTGTGAGAACACCTGCCATTTCTATGGTAGCATTCTACGCAAGCGCGGTCTCTGCCAGCGCGGCGAGCACTGCAAGCCTGGCTGTGTCGATAAACTGCGACCGGATTGCCCAAAGCTGGGCAAATACTGGCGCGACGAGAACACCTGCGTGCATGCTGACGAGTGTCCCTGCATGGATAAGGCCGAGCAGTATGTGCAGCCCCACAAGCCCGTTGTGGGTGAACTGGAGATTTGCCAGTGCATTGACAATGCATTCACCTGTGTGCTCAACAAGCCGGAGCCAACACCTGAGCCAACACAACGTAAGAAGCAGCGACAACTTATTATGCTTTAACTTTTAATTGTCTTAAACTTCTGCAGGACCATTTGAACCAATTGTACCCATTTTATCGGTTACTCTGACGCCGCCGTTGCACTGCGAACCTGAGCGGTAAGCTCTTGGCCTTTGAACTTGTTAACAGATTCACTCACGCTCATTTCGTTTTGATAGACTCATTCCGATGATTGAAAATGGGCCGCATTCATTGCCCGACAGCATATTCAATGCCAGCTCCAAACTGGCCCCAGACCATGCACCGCACAAAGCGCGTTTGACCAAGAATCCGAAAACTGGCGGTGGCAGCTGGTCACCTCAGATCAATGATCAAATGCAGTACCTGGAGCTGAACTTTGGACATGCCGAGCCCATCTATGGTGTCATCATGGCTGGCAGTCCGGAATTCAACAATTATGTGACGCTTTTCAAGGTACAATAAGACAAATATATGGCGCGCTGTTGCTAACATTTAGGTGTTCTGTATAACATCTGTTGTCTCACATTTGCTGCCCTGTTAAATAATTATGTAAATTGTAGATCCTGCACAGTCACGATGACATCGCGTATAACTATCTGGTAGACGAGACGGACAAGCCGCAAATGTTCAATGGACCTCTGGATTCGCGTGAGCCCGTGCGGACACTTTTTAAAATACCCATCGAGGCTAGCTCCCTGAGAATATACCCCATCAAGTGGCACGGATCCATAGCTATGCGCGTGGAGCTGCTAATTTGCGGCGAGCTGCCAACTGTTACACCGTCAGCCACGTTGCCCACCAGCACGGAGCATCCGCCATTGAATTTGGAGCTTGAGTGTGTGGATGAATTGGGCGTGGATAAGGGTGAGATGCATGAGCGACAGCTACAGGCTAGCAGCTTGTGGCAGCTGCATCAATCGGCAAGGAAACCACGTCTACTTGATCTGCTGAAGCTATCCAATGCCCAAGCTTGGCGTTCGCTTGCCAATACGCCCAATGAGTTTATCGAATTTGATTTCCTGGAGCCACGCAACGTATCCGGCTTCATAACCAAGGGCGGTCCCGATGGCTGGGTGACAGGCTACAAGGTTATGTTCTCGAAGAAGAAACCCACCTGGAACACTGTGCTGGCCCCCAATGGCCAGCCACGTATATTTGAGGCAAATGTCGACGAGCATACGCCGCGTACACATCACTTCAAGAATCCAATTCTGACGCAGTATCTGAAGATTGTGCCGGCCAAGTGGGAACGCAACATCAACATGCGCATCGAACCCTTGGGCTGCTTTAAGCCTTATCGTAAGTAGTTTAATAAACTAATACCCTAGCTAGTAAATCTTTATTTTGTATATTTATTATATATATAGCTGTGCTAAAGGAGGAACTAATCGAGGCAACGCATGAGCCAACCAAGTGCAATGTTTGCGATGGCATTGCCAGTCCCAGTCCCAGTCCCAGCTCCGACAGCAAGTGCCACTGCAGCGACCAGCTCTACTGGGATGGCAACAAGTGCGTGCAACGTAATCTGTGCCCATGTGTGGAGAACTATGTTAGCTATCCGATCGGTAGCAAGTTTGAGAACGCCGCGTGTGAGGAGTGCGTTTGCGTTTTGGGTGGACGCAACAATTGCAAGCCCAAAAAGTGTCCACCATGCAAAGAACGCCATTTGCGCCGGGTCATAACCAGCGACTGCTTCTGCAAGTGCGAACCGTGTCCCAAACAGCAGCGTTTGTGTCCGTCCAGCGGCGATTGCATACCGGAGATTCTGTGGTGCAATGGCGTGCAGGACTGTGCGGACGATGAGGATGCCAGCTGTCGAGATTCGTTTACAGTGGAGCCGGACATAAAACGCGAGAAGAATGAAAGTATGTGAGGATCGGTTTATATTGATTACAAATATTTAAATTCCTTTTATTTTAGCTACGGTTATTACGTGTCCTGCGCCTGTTTGCCCGCCGCAAATGAAAATTAAAATTATTGAGAAGAAGGCACGCAAGATGTCGAAGATCTTTTCATTCCACAAACAAGTATCGATTGTGGACGATGGTGTTAGCATAACGAAAACTAAATTCGTTTCCTCGAATGAGCAAGTTCTGGCCATGCCCAACAACGAACTAAACTATCAGGAGGAAGAGGAGTGCAGTGAATTCACCTGCGTGCCCATACCCACCAAGGAGGTGAACAAAAATGAAACCATCACCTGTGTGGAGCCCAAGTGCCCAGAGAAATATGATGTGGAACTGGACATGAGCACAGCCAAGGCTGGCGACTGTCTCAAGTACACGTGCGTGCTGCGACCCAATAAGGATGATGTGTGTGAGATAAGCGGCAAAAGCTTTACCACCTTTGATGGCACTCTGTTCAAATATAGTCCCTGCAGTCACATACTGGCCAGAGATATAAACAATGGCAGCTGGACCATATCGGGTAGAGATTGTGTGACCGGAATTCTATTTATACTAGTTCTTAATACTCTTCCCTGTTGCAGTGCATCAGCAGTGCAGCGACGAGACGCGCAAGGTCTGCCACAAGGTGGTCACCATACAGGACCTGCAAGCGGGCAATGAGCTGGTGCTGCTGCCGCATCTTAAAATTAAATTCAATGGCTTTGAGTTCACCGTGGAGCAGCTCATCAATTCGCCCATTTGTAAGGCCTCGTTTGTGGTCTCTCAGCCGGGCAAGACGTTGCTCGCGGTGTCCACCAAATATGGCTTCTGGGTGCAATTGGATGACATTGGCATACTCAAGGTGGGCATCTCCTCCAAATTCTTACGCACTGTGGACGGTCTGTGCGGCTATTACAATGGCAATCCACGCGATGACAAGCGCACGCCCGACGGCCAAGTGCTGGCCAACACGGAAAAGTTCGGCAACAGCTGGTACGACAAACGTGTGCCCCTGGATCAGTGCGGTGATCAAAAGTGCACCAGACAACTGCAGGCCAAGGCGCTACAATTGTGTAACATTATCAAGTAGGTGTACTAAATTTCTCACTACCTTTTTATTTATCACACCTTGTTGTTTCTGCCTTGCAGCCATCCTACCTTCGCTAAGTGCCACAAGGCTGTCAACTATAAACAATTCTCGAACAACTACTGCCTGGAGGCGGCCTGTGATTGCCTGCAGGCCAATAATGGAGATGCCGCCGCCTGCAAGTGCAACATACTCGAGAGTTTCGTGAAAAAATGTCTCAGCGTCAATCCGTTGGCGCAGCTTACCACCTGGCGGGCGGTGCATCAGTGCGAGATTAGTTGTCCGGCGCCCTTGGTGCACACAGATTGCTATAAGCGACGTTGTGAGCCCTCGTGTGACAATCTGCATGGCGATGATTGTCCTGTGCTGCCGGATGTCTGCTTCCCGGGCTGCTACTGCCCGGAGGGCACCGTTCGCAAGGGCCCCAAGTGTGTGCCCATCGCCGACTGCAAGGATTGTGTGTGCAAAGCACTGGGCAGCTCCAACTACATGACCTACGATCGCAAGAGTTTCAGTTTCAATGGCAACTGCACTTACCTGCTCTCCCGGGATGTGGTTCTGCCGGGCGTGCACACGTTCCAGGTGTATGTCAGCATGGATGATTGCAAGAAACTTGGCCAAGTCAGTGCCACCAATGGCACCAGCTGCGCCAAGTCGCTGCATGTGCTCAACGGTGATCATGTGATTCATGTGCAGCGCGTGCCGCAAAAGACGAAAGCCCTGCAAGTCCTAATGGACGGCTTTGAGGTGAAAAAGATGCCATACAAGGACAGCTGGATAACGTTGCGTCAAGTGGTGGGCAAGGAGCTGGTGCTAAATCTGCCCGAATCACACGTGGAGTTGACAGCCTCGTTTGAGGACTTGCTCTTCACGCTTGGCGTGCCCAGCATCAAGTATGGCAGCAAAATGGAAGGACTCTGTGGTGATTGCAATGAAGATGCCAGCAATGATTTGCAGCCGAATCCGGCCAAGAAGAAGCCAGGCATAGATGTTATACAGAGCTGGCAGGCGGATGAGCCCAAGTTAGGTCTGACCGATGCCCAGGAGTGCTTGAGTGAAGATGTGCCCAAAGAGAACTGCCTACCGTTGCCGCCAGAGAAGGATCCCTGCCTGCAGTTTTACAATGAGGAGCTGTTTGGCAAGTGTCCGCTGGTTGTCGACCCCATTGCCTATGTGTCCGCCTGTCAACAGGATATCTGCAAGACGGGCAACACACAACAGGGCGTCTGCGTGTCCCTGGCCGCCTATGCCAAAGAGTGTAACAAACAGGGCATCTGCACAAACTGGCGCCGACCACAGCTCTGTCCGTATGACTGTCCCAGCGACATGGTCTACGAGCCCTGCGGCTGTGCCAAAAACTGCGATACAGTCAAGGCCATGTCCGAATATGATGCGGTTAATGTAAAGACCCAGACGGTGTTCCACACTGTGAACAGCGATGATATGTGTCTTAGCTCAGAGCGCTTTGAGGGCTGCTTCTGTCCTGCCGGTCAGGTCATGGATGGCGGCAAATGTATACCAGAGGAAGCGTGCACAAAATGCGACGACGGAGTACACCTGCCGGGCGATAAATGGCAGCCGGACAAGTGCACCGATTGCCAGTGCGATGCCAAGGGCAAGAGCTCGTGCGTGGAGAAGAAGTGCCAAGTGGAGGAGAACATATGCGCCGAGGGCTATAAGCCACAGACCATAGTAAGTGCCGAGGAGTGCTGTCCACGGTATCGCTGCGTGCCGGAGCCCAAGGAGTCACAAAAATTATGCCTGGCGCCACTAATGCCAGTCTGTGGACCCGGCCAATTTAAGAAGCAGAAGAACGATATCAACGGCTGTCCACAGTACATTTGCGGTGAGTGTTATTTCCAATCATCTGGATTTATTTAAGATAATCTGTCTGCCTTACTAACTGCTAAATCTATACAGAATGCAAGCCCAAGGAGGACTGTGAGCCGCTTGTGCCACCACGTGAGCTTTTGCCGGGCGAGCAACTCGTCAAGATCGACGAGGGCTGTTGTCCCACACAGAAGATTGTGTGCAAGCCAGAACAGTGCCCGCCAGCGCCAGTCAACTGCCAGCAACGCTTCTATGAGGTCAGCACACAGCAAGCGCCCGGCGCCTGCTGTCCCACACACAAATGCGGTGCGTACATGAACCGTTTATGAAACATGCATCTTATAATTAATTCTGCTTTGTGCTCACAGTGCCGCCCAAACATTTATGCATTGTGCAGTATGAGGTGGAGGAATCGAGCAGCTTTACCAAGCAAGTCGGCGACAAGTGGCCGCACGCCAAGGATGTCTGCAAACAGGAGCAGTGCTCGTATGGTCCAAATGGCGTGGCTCAGGTTATCAGCACGCTGGAACAGTGTGTTACGAATTGTGCGCCGGGCTATAGCTATCAGAAGCTGGACGAGACCAAATGCTGCGGCGAGTGCGTGCAGACTTCGTGTCTATTCGAACAGAAGCTATATGAGGCTAACGCGCAGTGGAGTTCACCCGACAATTGTACGCACTATTTGTGCCTGAAGAAGGATAAACTGTTGATGGTCAGCTCCTCGAGCGAGGTCTGTCCGGATGTCAGTCAATGTGCGCCCCATTTGATCTATGTCGAGGGCTGCTGTAAACGCTGCAAATTGGAGCCGCAGGTCGAAGATCTATGTGAGTTCGCTATCTTAAAAAATGCTCATTTATTTATTGCATTTGCTAATTGGTAAACGATTGCAGCTACCTGTCTGCCCGTTTCGCTTGCCGAGTCGCGGACAAAGGAGCTGCTGAAGTATACTAAGCCTGCTCATGGTGTTTGTGTTAATGCCGAGCCCATTAAGGGCTTTACGGATTGTGAAGGCGCGTGCAGTTCGGGTTCCAAGTACAATAAGCATACCGATATCCATGAGAAGTTCTGCACCTGCTGCAGCATCAAATCCTATCAACCGATCTCAGTGAAAATGGTCTGCGAAGATGGACATACATATAATCAGCGCGTAAGTTTCTATTTCCAATCATATCTTTCCATCGATCTCAATTTAAACGTTTGTATTGACAGCATGAGGTGCCCTCGAATTGTGGCTGCTCGCCGTGCGATGAGTTCTCAGAGGGCGTGATAGATGTGCGGATGCAAGGAGCAAAGCAAATGTCAGTGCCGCTGTTGCAGTTACTGGGCCATTGAGCTGTTGCGCTAGTCTAGTTTTTAATGATTAATTGTAAACGCATGAAAACAAGAATATTCAAAAATTCCAATTGGCTTTGTTAGTTTGGTCGCCAGTTAGTAATGATAAAAAGCATGGACATATCGATATATTGTTCTACCTATGAATTTCGGTTCAAGCTATCGATAGTTGGTAACACCGAAGCTCAATATGTACGCAGCATCAATACATCGATACTTCGATCGCTTGCACCATCAATAACAGCAACATGAATAGACAAGTTTTAGTGTACAAAGTGATCTAATTCTGTGAGTGTGTGAAGTGAAAAAAAAAAAAAAAGAAAATGAATCTCATCAAATATAGGGTAAGTGAGATTCATAATGTACAATTGCCATGCCACATTCACGAGTTCAACTTAATTTTAAGTCAATTTATTGCAGCGCCTGTAGCGGCGCCAATATTTGTTCACGGCACGCAATAGGGCTGGGGCTGGGCTGTCATTATGTTTGCTTCTGGGAAGCCGGCAGCCATTAAAAAATGTTGTGGCACCTTTTGATAATGCAGTCGGCATTGCCGCTGAGCTGTTTATGAAAACTTTGCGGTTTTCAGACTCGGACTTAAACTCGCTACATTTGCATTTCAATAATTAATTGTTATTGTTGCCTGAGCACTTTGTGTTCGTTTTTGCACATGAGCAGCAGCTACACACACACACAGACACATACATACATACATATAGAGCCTCTCCATTTGCCTACGCGCAGACAGGGCACAGCTATAAAATGCGTGCCAGCAACTACGTAAAGCAAATACGTAAGCACGTGTGTGCAGACGTACAAACATGCATACGTACGGACATAAGTACGTAAGTAATAACAAAGACGTTGACTTTTCTGTGGCGGACGTTAATTTATTTACTGCTGCGCTTGGCAAATAGCACCGCTACATTACCCCCCGCCCTCTCCCTCACTCTACAACAAAACCGCAAGCAATGCGCGCTCTGCACTTTTGCACATTCATTGCATTTTATTTATTGTATGATTCAACAATTTACGTAAGTTAGCGACGCGAATATGAAATTATCCTTTTGTGTGGCCAAGCCGAACGAAACTTGCCCCCAAGGAAGTTGACAATAAAAACACGTACACACGCCTATTATGACATGGCTTAAAGCCTTTTTTTTTTAATGCAATGCCAAAGTACCTGGCAAAGTTATTGTTCCGGCCCCTTGGCAAGTTGCCGTTCCGCGCATTTATGCATATATTTATTATGACCTGAGGTTAGCTTATAAAATATTCAATATGGCGGGGAAAATCTTAAAGAGGCATCAATGGAAGCCTAAAACTATTATCAAGCCCTGCAAATACTGCAGAGATATAAATTAAATAGGCGTTAGGGCGTTAAAATTGAGGAAATAGTCAATTAGACAGCTGACACACGCACACACACACAGAAGTGTGTACCTATATGTGCACGGCATTCTTATTGGAATTTAATGGAGCACATGGTTTTTGTATTGCACATATAAAAATAATATTTTCTGCATATTGTATAGAGAGTGTAGTCTATATAATTGCACAGAAGTAATCCCAAGCAGGAAATGAACACTGAAATGGCTAGCGATGCGAAAGACACACACACAACACACACACAACACACACACACAACACACACACAACACACACACATATTGGCACACATGCGACAAGATACACGGCAACACTTTTTATACGAACACACATACAAAAACATTTATTTTAGCCAAGCATTTGCCAAATCGATATGCAATTTTCGTAAATATTGTACTTAGTGGTAAAATTGTATATATGTATGTATGTACTTTACGTTCGTATATGGCCGCTTAAAAATCTAAAATGCAAAAATCGTTTATTTGCTCAAGAGCCGTAAAAATGTACAAACTGCAAGGCGATGCCTGTGTGTGTGTGTGTGTGTGTGTATGGGCTGATTCGTTCGGCCGCTGCAAAAAGTCAAACATGGCCATTTGTTGCAGGTTTCAATTTCAGTTGATTGCAAACATAGTGCGAGAGAAAGACAGAGAGAGAGAGAGATAGAGTGGGAGAGTGAGAGATTGTGAGTAAGAGAAAGAGTAGCAACTAGCTTGGTACCTTCAATGCCATTGACGAAGAAGAAATTGTTGTAGATATTTGGACGTGCAGTCGAGCGCAAAAAAGCAACAGAGACATCGACGACAGACGGTCCGACAGAGCCAACTGTTCGACTGTGCGGGCTGTGCATAGAGACATATGTAGAACTCACACACACACACACATACACGTAAGACATACAAAAATTATAAGGATATACGCTACGTGCAGTCAATAAATAAAACAGTTCTGTTCGAGTCCTTGCAGCCAACAGTACCACCAAGTAGCACATACGCCTGGCACAAGCCTTACGAAAGAAACACGTTCGATTTAATACAAATGCGCTTAGGTGTAGGCGTGGAAGGGGTTGGGGGGTGGGGTTGCCGGTAGAAACGGCTGCTGCTGTGTGGGATTTATGCCAAGCGACGTTTTAAGTCTTCGTCGCAGCAACAGCTGCTGCTGCTGCTTCTTCTTCTACTTCAGATGCGGCTGCCACAGCTGCGCTTACGAATGCGCTCCATGAAGTCAATGCATTTGCCTGGTTAGCAATTTGTAATAATTTTCCTCTGTTTTTTTTCCCCCTCCTAGGATGCTTATCTATTTTGTAGCATCAAATAAATATGGTTTGAATTTTGTAATATGTTGACTGGCCATAATTTTAGGTAAAACATGGGCCGTTAGCCCACAGCGCAGTAAACCAAATATTTACTAAGTTTTAAATCAGTTTTTTTGCCTGCAGAAGAAACTCGTTTGACTCAAAGTATTTTTATCAAAGTTACAACCAATTTTGCGCAAATGTTAATCGTTTTTGGGTTCAACAATAGCCTTTGCATACTTTAGAGGGTCACAAGGGCCAAGAGACTATTTTGTCTTTTGCATGCTTTTACCCCTGTGGCTAGAATATAAATTTTGATTTTACATTCCAAACTCAGTTACAAGTTTGGTACTAAATGGCAACAGTTATGTTGATAAACAAAAACTCGTTGCATACCTTTTTCTATGGCCGAGACCAAGTCAAAATTGCAAATATCTGAACAATGCGAACCGAAATGCTGACTGCTGCTGGCTGTTATTTTTGAACTTAAGAAACTCATATACACACGCACACACACACTCACTCTCAGGCACACACATAGCGGTGTCGGGGGTGTGGCGGGGCACATTAAGTTTGGCATTAAATTCAAAATACGTGGAAAATGCGTATGGGAAATGCAACAGCTGCATATTGTTTGATAAATAAATAGCAAAAATACATACACACACACACACACACGTTTCCCTATATTTAGAGTGCACAGTCACACACATACATATATACAAATTGCTATTACCCAACGCAATGATTTTTCGGCACAAGCTGTTGTCAGTGATATATGTATATAGCAGAGTCTATCTAGTATACATGTGTGGACATATGTATGTGTGTGTTGGTTTGAGTGGGTGTGAGCGTGCTTGAGTGTATGTGTTGTGTGTAGATATTTCGTTGTCTCTCACCTTAAACGCCGCTACCTCCCCCCTCTCTTCATCTCTCTCTCTCTCTCTGTCTTTCGCTGCATTTGCACTTTAACATTTAAAGTTGCTTCTCGGTGCGATGCGGCTGATTAGAGAGAAAAGGATGCCAAATTTATTGCAACTGTCTGCGAAAGATAATTTAAATAACAAACTCTCACGCGCACACACAGGCACGCACTCACTCACACACACATACAATGGCCACAAATTGTTACGACAGTGATAAATAAATGTTAACAATGTGCAAATTGTTTAAATTTGCCGCAGCAACAACAGCAAACAGCAACAACAATGTGAGCAGAGTTTGTAACAAATGCAAATGCACATTTACAACCACAATTACAATTGCATTATCACACACACACAAACAGACACACACATACGCAGACATGCCAGCATGCGGCTTTTGTAATACGCACACACACACACACACACACAATTTGACACTCGCATTCGCATATACATATACGTTCACACACAAACATGTGAAAAAAGTTGCACGTTAAGTTTTACAGGCGGTATTTTATACACTTTTTCGAGGGTATACTAAATTGTTGACTAAATATGTAAAGCATTTAAAATGAGACTTTTCCGGTGAAAAGAGTGTGAATTCTTATATTTTTAATCGCAGAATAAGATTAGCCCTAAAGACTGTGGCCTTTGAACATTTCTTTTGTTTTAGATTTTACATAGGTCGAAACGGGCGGGGATACTTAACGATGTTATGCTGCTTATCGGAACCCTTGGTCAGTTATTCAATAGAAACCCAAATTTAACAAATACAATTCATATAATTGTTTAGTGTAATAAAATAGGGATCCAATTAGCAAACTTTTCTATATACCTGCTATATAAATAAAATAATTTTATATGAATAATTTGATAAACTTTTATGATTGAAGCCTTATTTAGGCAATTCATTCCGAAATGTTCAATAGTTGCCCAATTATTCGACAGTCTTTTGTTCAAAATAAAATATTGTATTGTGTAATTGCGATACGCAAGTGTATTAAATATTCGGCATATTATAGATATGCACTCTTTCTTGTACGCATTGTTGTTGCTGCTGCTGCGAGAGTTATTATTATGGTTGTTGCCTCTTGTTGTTGTTGTTGTTGTTGTAGTTGTCATTGTAGTTGTTGCTTTTTAAGGCTGCTCTGTTGCTTGCTGTTGTTGTTGTTGTTGTTGTTGCAGCCTCAAATGCGAAATAACCAAAACTTTGCCCGGCAATTTGCTTTAAGCAGTTATTGTGTTAAATATTTAAAGTACTTTGATGAAATCCAGTTACGACTTGCTAAATAACTAAGCAAGAAATTGAATTAAGCATAGCTTTCGTGCTGACTATCAATAGGTTTGTGTCTGAGCCAGCTAGTATTTTAAAATGGCCAATTTAACGAGGAATTCAACTATTAAATATATTATAATATAACATTTATTCACACATTTCTTTTTATTTATGTTGTCCTTTGATAAAAAGCGTTTATCTCAAAGCTTTCTCCAGCTGC